GGTTACCATTGTACTGCCAGTTTCTGTACCTGAAGTTCTTCACTGCATCTTTTGGTAGAACAACTATGGTGTCCCCTTAAATCACCTCTGTAGTCAGTTACTGTGACTGATCCTTTCTCTCTGAAACAATTTGGTAGGGCATCTCCTATAGGTTTCTATTTTAGCTCCCCTTGTAACATTTCTTTACAGATTCCCTCTTTCTGTCTCCAAGACCCCCTGCTGCCATTAGGCCTCAGATTTCTAATGATCCTTTCTTTTTGCTCTAGGGTCATTATGTATTATCAGAAAGTCAACCAGAATTGGAGGAAAAGCAAGCCTCTGCTCTCTCTGGGGCAGTCCAGGTTCAGCCAACTCCACACAGTGACTTGGATCCCCAGACCACCAGCCAGCAGCAGCCCACACAGTACATCATTACAACCACCACCAATGGGAATGGGAGCAGGGAAGTACATATCACCAAACCTTAACTTCCATCCTTGAGCTAGGATCAAGCTGTTACATCATGTCTCTTCTCATTTGTAAATCGGAAAGCTTCTGACACAACTCTTTTTTAAGATTTGTCATTCATTCGAGTTTGGAGGTTACAGCTTTGACACTAATACAACTATTGGGGCTTGTTTTATCCAGATCATCTTTACCAAGTTGACTCTTCGAACCCTAGGAGTTGTTGTCATGGAATGGAGACCTTTCAGTGGCTAGTAGAGTTCAAGAGGGAGATATTTTGCCTTGCTCTTGAGTTGGTTTTTTAACACGTTGATAAGCCTTACTTTCCTTTGTGGAACTATTAAGTGGTGTATTGTGTTTGTACCAAAGGTGGAGAAAGGATGTGACAAAGTCCGTGGCCACTGGACTCCATTCCAAGCCGTGGCACCAAAGGAGAAGGGGCATTTTATGGGGGTGTGTTAGGTCAGAACTGCTTCATCTTTTGAGTTTGCAGTAACTTAACAAAGGGAGCCTATGGAATATGAAAATAACAATAATGAAACAAAGGGTGACAGTAATGTTCTGAAGGAAAACTGTCATCTAAATTTTTTTTATAGTTGATTAAAAAAAACTTGCCTTTTTTTTGAAAATCATTGTTGGGCTATTGGCAGTACTTTCCACAGATACTGGCCCTCAGCAGATTAGGCCAGAAGACCATGTTCTGCTAGATCTTTATTATTCCACAGTGGTGGACTCCCTGTAAAAGAAGAGGTTGCTTGATGTCAGCAGAATTGAAACTCCTACATTAAAGCTTTGCCACCCATTCTCTGACGTGGTTGTAATAAGGAGATATTGGAGATATCAGTACCAAGTAAGAGTACCGAGACAATATATGTACATATAAAGTAAAAAGCACTGAAACACTGAAACCTAGTCCTGCCTTCCCAGATCCATTTACCATTCATTGGTAAAGGACGACTTTCTCTCTCCTACCAGGTGTACATTCAGCCCTCGCTCACAGCATTCAGTGTATTTTAGAATTTCTAATGCTTTCTTAAAATGAACATTCTTTAAGGTTGGATGGAAAGGTTGCCCTCCTTATTTCTTAACCTTTTAACTTAAACATACTACAACTCATCTGGACCCTTTGGTATGACCAACTTCACACTTAGGGGAAAAATAAGAACGTGGAGACCATTTATAATACAGTAAGGCAGTGATTTTCAACCTTTTTTTTTAATCTCATGGCACATAAACTGATTACTAAAATTCTGTGACACATCAAAAAAAATATTTTGCTGATCTGACAAAAAAGTAGGTATAATTTTGATTGATTTACCAAAAAAAAAAAGTAATTACCCTTTTTACTCCAAAGTGACTTTAAAAAAATCAGTTGCCTATACTTGTATATAAGAATTTCTGGTACCAAGACTTTACCAGTCAGACAAAACCTCATTATGCAATGTGGCCAATAAGATGCAACTCATTATTATATGACCTATATATGTATAGTTCAAGACAGGGCATTCATACCAGATGGCTATTGTGTTGCCTGTTGTCATTTTTTTATTTGACAGTCTAAGGGAAAAAAGGTCAGTGCCCCTGACTAAATAGTCAGGTATTGCATGTTTTAAAAATTCTTGCAGCATGCTGGTTGAAAATCACTGCGTTAAAAGATCTAGAAGAAATCCAATCTTGATGAATATTACACTGTCAGTAGGGAAAGGAAAAAAATCTGCCTCGGTGATAATTTTGCTTCTATGTATTCCTCATTGTCAGCTATGAATTCAGTGGGGAAAAACACTTCCCTTCTTTTTACTGTACATTCCAAGTGTACACATAAAACATTGCACAGACCAGAATGTATTTTAACAACTTTTTGTGATATACTAACACATTTTTAGAATAATTACTGATGGTAGAATTTGTCACTGCAGAACAGAAAGACCTAACTTAAATGTCAAATGAAGTTAATTTATTTTATTTACATTCCTGGGTAAAAACTGGTTCTATAAAGTAAGTATAGTAGCTTCTTTATAGTAAAGATAACCTTTCTGAAAAGTAAACAATTCTATTGAAATGACTTTACTAATATGTAGATTTTGCACTTTATTTTTGAGACCTCATTTATTTAGTTATCCCTGAAATTTTGGGCACTAAGGGAACTTGAGAAAGTTACTTGGGAAATGTATAGAAACTGAAAATGGACTCTATATCTTTGGTAACAAAGAGGTAATGTCAATGTTTTTAATAGAACATATTGGCCCTGAATCACAAAACAGAGACTCTGGGTCCCAAAGTCCCACGTTGTAATGTAATGTATCCTAGGGTCCAGTCTGAATGACTTGCTAGGATGAAGAATACTAAACTTTCCCAAAGATCTAGTTTAGATTTTAATACCTTAAATTTGGCCCTTTGGGGTCCTTTTTCATTTCAGTCAGCAAGGTGTCTTGCCCTCCCATCCCCTCAGGAGTAACATAAATAAAAATAGAAAACTATCACTAAATGGAATGTTCATTTTTTGCCAGTTATTTCAAGTTTTAAAATACACAGAAGGAAATGTGGAAGGACTTCTTTGTCTCTTTCCAATCTAAGTTTGTTTTTTTTTCTTTATTTTTTTTGTCCTTATGTGGAATAAGTAAAGACTCTAAAACTAATTTGTATATTACCAACCAGAGATAGAGGTGTCAGTCAAGCCAAATAATACTGCTTTAAGATCAGGTATTCCACACATTCATCCAAGGTAACAGATTTTCTAGAGGACTTGGATTTGAAGAGATGGCAGATGATAAGACCCAGTTTGGGGGGAAAAATGTATGTAGCCAATGTTTATATTGTTTCCTTCCTTAAGACACATTGGCACTGTAGACTTCAATCAGTGCAGTGTGAAAATTTTGGAGTAACATAGATTTTACATTTTTATTGTTTGATTTGTGCCCACATAATAGACGTTTTATCATGTAAAATTTCTGTTATCCAGGAAAAACCTATTGTTTTGATCTTGAATTGTTTTTCTGATTTCCAGTTATCCTTTCAAAAAACTCTTAGGGCTAAAAAGCACTTCAAGAGATGCTAAAGCTGACCCACAAGTTAAAAATGTTGACCCCATTCTGTTATTTAAATGTGAACATTTATTGTACATTCAGTGAGTTATAGTGTTAATAGTCTTGTGCTACTCAGCAAGTGTAAAAATTAATAAATATTTTTTTAAATAAACATCTTCCTTGTTTGTATGTGTGAAGCTACAAGAGCTACTGAGATTGTTAACTCTTCTTCTTCCTTCCTTCCTTCCTTCCTTCCTTCCTTCCTTCCTTCCTTCCTTCCTTCCTTCCTTCCTTCCTTCCTTCCTTCCTTCCTTCCTTCCTTCCTTCCTTCCTTCCTTCCTTCCTTCCTTCCTTCCTTCTTCTGCTTCTCTATTTCATAAAGTGTTTTGACTCTTTGATTTACTCTAGTCTGGTCAGAAACTCCCAGTGGGAGAATTGATGGATGACAACTGTGGAATGATGTTCTTCTGCTTATTCACTTGGTGGTTTCTAATTCAAGGACCTACCAACTTTTGCCCTGGCCCCTGTGATTGGATGGTTAGAGCCTCTGCCGGCAGACCAGACTGAATGGTCGCAAATTTGATTCCCGGTCACTGGCATTTACCTGGGTGGCAGGTTCCATCCCTGGCCCTGGTCAGGGCAGGAGGTCTCTAAAAATCAGTGGAAAAAATGTCCTGGGATGAGGATCAACAAAAAACAAACAAATAACAACAACAAAAATTAAAAGAAAGAAAAAGAAAAAAGAACCTACCAACTTTCTAACAGGAAGCAGGGCAGGCTTGCAGCCAGCAGGGAAGAAGACATAGGGCTTTATTTGGAAACTTCTATTTTCCAACAAGGGAGGGACAATTTTGGGCCCTCCAGCTTCTCTGACATAGTTGTATCCAATTGAGAACTGAGGGTGATCTCTGCACGACTGGTGGGAGTATGAAGCCGTTCTAAGAGCCAGAGAGTAGTAAGAACGATGGATTCTTAACAAGAGGAACGTTATCCAGTTTAGTTTAAAATGTATTTCTTCGGTGTGTGTACTTTTTCGGACATCTAGGGCCTGGGGACGGGAGGGAGAAATGGGGACAAGCCGGGGGCATAGGCTCGAGTACTCGTTCTCCTCAATGAAACTCGAGAAACCGCCGTTTCCTCAACTGTAAAAAGGGAACTAATAGTGAGTGCATAGTATTAAAAAATAACAGCAGTAGTACAAAGATAGTGGACAGAAAGCGCTTAGCATAGTGCCTGAAACAGGGTACGTACTGCATTTAGTAACTCTGGTTTTAAAGCCTCTGTTCGCGGCCAGGTAAAAACTACCGACACCGTCTCCACCCTCCGGAAGCTCCTAAACCCGGTGAGACCATCGAGACGACTACAAATTGCACCCCCAGACCCAGCTGCACGAGCTCCCGTCGCCCCAGGCCCCGCCCCGCCCCGCGACGCGACGCGTCCCTCCAGGCCCCGCCCCTCAGCTCCGCCCCCGGCATCCCAGGCCCCGCCCTTTCCGCCGCCCGAGCCCGGAGCGTGCACGCACAGAGACGCCTAGCGAGGGCGAGCGCGTCCAGGACCCCGCGGGCCGAGAAGCGCAGCGGGCTGCGAGACCCGCGACTGCGGCAGAGGTGAGGGCGGGCCCTAGATGGCGAAAGGGTTAAGTTGTTGCCAGGGACCAGAGATCCGGAGTAGCTGGGTCCCCGAGGGCCGCTGCTCCGGTGGGCTTGTGGCAGAGGAGCGGGCCTGTGGGAGCTGAGTGGCCCGTGTGGGTGGGGGTTAGGGTTAGGCGTGGTGTGGGGGAGGGGCCCTTGGCGCAGAAATGCAGTTTGGAGGGGCGGGACCCCGGCCTTGGGCTAGGGCGGGGTTGACTAGGGGAGGCTTTGCTGCTGGGGCGACGGATTTGGAGCCGGGGGTTGCCCGGAAGGAGCCTAGGGTTTAGCTTCTTTGGGGGGAGGGTCCTGGGGGGAAGGTTAGCTCAGGTGCAGAGGAAAGGCCTTTGGGAGAGGCCTTCCTGGTCTAGTAAAGAGGTCCAGACACCACAAGACTTAGAAACCCTCGCTTCCGGGGTTCCAACATCTGGCAGCTGCCGTTTTGTATTTGGAGAGCCTATTAAGAATAGTAGCAGGGCAAAGGTTTGCCACTTGGATAAGATTCAATTTAACTACACATCCACGGAATTTAAGAAACTTGTGAGCAAGTTGTGAAACAGGTGATCCTCCTAACAGTCAGGTAAAACACAGGCTTTGCAGCTGTTACCCTGTTCTGTGTCAATTCTTGTCAAAGGACTTTATTCTAAGCATCAGGTTACTTTGGCATTTTTTTTTTTTTTTCTATTTTAAAGTTTCGTGAAACACATATGTCATGTGCTTTCTTACCTGCTCCAATTATTTAGGTACAGGGAATGTTCAGGATATTGTAATTCACCTTGGCTGAAAGGGGTACCATTGCAAGGGGACTACACAGCTGGATCTTACATAGATCTGAAATCTCTTGAAATAATTTAGTGGGAAGGTGCTTATTTTGGTAGTAATTTTACAGGTTTTTTTTTTTTTTTATCATTTGAGAGTTTCAGAATGAGAATTCATTGCATTACTGCATTACATGTCTACATTTAGTCATTATAAACTGTCATCTTGAGGTTATTCGTTGCAGGAATACAGGATTGGTCCAACTACCCTTCATTAATTGACACCTGTTGAAGTAAGATTTACCCAAAGTCACTGAGATTAGGCAAGAAGTTTGGTGTTTAGACTGTTGTCTGTTTTTTTCTTTTTGTTTATACTGTGCTTGCTAGTCTTTTTGGTAGGAATAGGAAATAGAGGGTGGACTTAGAAAATGTTTTTAGAGTGATTGAGTTCAGGCTCCTTGTTCCTGTTCAGTCCTGTGGCCTTGGCTTCACACTGATTCTAGCCATCAGCCTTATGAAATGTTTTTTGAAATGTTTTTTTTTCTAATCCTCACCCGAGGATATTTTTCTATTTATCTTCAGATAGATTGGGAGGGAGAGAAAGAGAGAGAGAGAGAGACAGACAGACACACACACACACACACACACAGACATCAACGTGAGAGGGACATATCAACTGGTTGCCTCCTACAGGACCCCGACCAGGGCCAGGAACGAACTGCCACCGAGGTACTTACCCTTCCTTGGCTGGAATCGAACCTACAACTTATTGGTCCGTGGGCTGATGCTCTACTGCTGAGCCAAACCAGTCAGGGTTGAAATGCTTTAATATGTACGTTCCTAAAGGTGGCCAGTAGTAGTCAATTATTACAGGAAGGAGAAAGGTAGCATTATATTTATCTGGTTATAAATATCAGATGGACCAGCTAAGACGGGTTGGCTCCTACTTTACTGGTTGTCATGGTCAGATTCTTGGAGCCTCTGGAGTTTATTTGAACTGTAAAGTCATATTATAGGGATTATATTATAATCACTTTTCATGATTTAAATTGGGAGTTTATATAGGATGTATCGTGTATAGTGTTAAGACATGGGTTTGCGGTCAGGCTGACCTGAGCTTCAGTCCTACCTCTGGAATTGGGCAAGTTAATTACCTACTTTGATCCTCATTTTAATATCTGTAGAATAGATATAATAACTCTGTCTTTCACAGTTGTCAGAATTAAATGAGATATATGAAAGCCCTAACACATAATAGGCCCTCATTAAATAATTTATTGTTAGTGTCTGAGCTTTATTAATCTGTGTGGATTTTCAGTGAATTCACTTTTGTGAGAGAACAAAAAATTAATTGCTAAAAACAATTAATTGTTAAATTATGTTATAGTGGAGAGATTATTGGCCCGTGAAGTCTAAGTTATGGACTCTGCTGATCTGTTTTTCCAGTCTCATTTTGCTTATGTGTAAAGTGAAGTTAGTAGAGTGCCTACAAATTTGGGAGTTGTGGAAGCATTCTGAATAACGAGAGATCTGATACGATTTAAAAGCTCAGATGAATGTGCAGTGGTGGAATGGAGGGAGAAGAGCTGCTTAGCTAGAGTTAGGATATGGAGATAAGGTATAAGAGTAGATTTGAGATTGAATATTTTCTTGACCAGAATATTTTCTGGAAGAGTGTTGTCAACCAGATCCCTGGGGTTTCTGCCTTTCTGTCTCAAGGAATGACTGCTTATATTTGTCTAGATTACCCGTGGAACATAAAAAATGGATTCCTTGGACCACATGCTGACGGATCCCCTGGAGCTGGGTCCATGTGGAGATGGCCATGGCACACGTATAATGGAGGACTGCCTCCTGGGGGACACCAGGGTTAGTCTGCCAGAGGACCTTCTGGAGGATGTAAGTTACAACGTTGTCACCTCTCTCAGCTTCCCCACAGCCAGTATTTCAACCCTTTTCAGTCTTTTGTGCTCCCTTCTGTTTCATTTTCTACATTACAGCCAGAATGATCTGTCTTTTTTGTGTGTAGAATTTATTTAATATTCTGATTAAAGAAGAAATCATAAGCTACATTTTGCATGTTTAATAACGTGTCAACATAACTTGGTAATATGATATAAGCTTTATTTTTAACAAGGTATTTTTCGGCAATTAATAAGAAGTTTTAGTCCAACCGGTGTGCCTCAGTAGTTGAGCATTAAACCATGCACCAAGAAGTCACTGGTTCGATTCCCAGTCAGGACACATGCCTGGGTTGTGGCCCTGATCCCCAGTGGGAAGCGTGCAGGAGGCAGTAAGTTGATGTTCTCTTTCATCGATGTTTCTGTCTCTCTCTACCTCTCACTTCCTCTCTCTCTCAAATCAATAAAAAGGGAAAAAGAAGATTTATGTATTTATTTTTAAATCTTCATTTGAGGATATTTTTTAATTGATTTTTAGATAGAGTGGGAGGAAGAGAGAGAGAGAGACACATGTGAGAGAGACACATTGATTGGTTGCCTCCTGCGTGACTCCAACCAACCCCAACGAGGGCTGGGGATTAAACCCACAACTGAGGTATGTGCCCTTGGTGGGGATTGAACCCATGACTCTTTAGTCCTCAGGCTGATCTCCATCCTCTGAGCCAAACTGGCCAGGGCAAGAAGTTTTATATTTTAAGAGCAGAATTATGTGTATGTTTACATTAAAATGGTTACCCATGTTGTGATTCATGAAACCAAACCCAAACATTATCCCTGTCTATAAGGTAACCCTCCAGTCAATTATAAGTATGTGCCTGGGGATAGCATATCAGCATGCTTTTGACCACTTTCACTGACAGGCAGTGTAATCATTATTATTATTATTGTTATTTTTTTAAAATAATTTTTTCTTCCTTTATTGATTTTAGAGAGAGAGGAAGGGAGAGGGACAGAGATAGAAACATCAATGAGAGAGATGCATGCCCCCCACTGGGGATCAGGCCCACAACCTGGGCATGTGCCCTGACTAGGAATTAAACCGGCGACCTCCTGGTGCATGGGTCAACTACTGAGTCACATTGGCTGGGCTGTAATCATTATTATTAAGGTAGCTACCATTTATTAAGTGCTTAATATATGCAAGGCACTAGGTGTACTAAAACTGTTTATCTTGTTTATTTTGCTGTATTTCAAACAGGTGTAGAGAGTGTCATAAAGCTAACATTCATGTGTGCATCATCCAGTTCTAGGAGATAATTTCATTTAGTCATTTTGGTTCAGATTTTTCTTTTATAACACATCAAACATTTTAGATAAAATTAAAACCACTATTTTGCCCTTATTTTATTCCCTTTCCCGCCTGAAGTAACAACCACTGGAGTTGGTATATATCCTTCTGTATTTTCTTTGCATACTCTTTCAAGTAACTCTACTTATGTCACTCAGTCAGCTAATACTTGTTTCATTAAGTACCTACTTGATGCCAGACACTGAGATGCTAAGAATAAAGTGGTGAGCAGAAACAGGTTTGCAGAGGAAGATGTTGAACACCGAGCCTGAGGTGCTTGGGTACACGCATGCAGAGACACCTAAAAGGTGGTTGGAATTCCAGGTTGTCTCCTGTTTAAACCCTTTGGTGGCTCTCCATTGTCCGTAGGATAAAGGACTTAACCTGTTTACAGGTCTTTCTGCTGTCCGCTGCTGCCCCTCTTCTCCCCCGTCCTTGTGCCAGCCACACATTGCCTGGACTCTTTTTGTTCTTGGATTTTTAACCCTTTTGCCTCAACATTTTTTTTTTCTTATCCCTCACTACATTAAATGTCACTTCCTCGGGTAGGTGTTCTCTGAAACCTTCAGTCTGGGATGTATGTTTCTCCTGTGTGCTTATAGGTAAACTCTTAAACTATGTTGTAATTGCTCGTTTAATTTTTCCCACATCCAGACAATATGTATGCAGTACTAGTCTGTCTTAGTACATAGCTGATAGAAGACATCCAGTATATAATTGTTCAGTGAAACTCCATCCTGCTACTTCTCACTCTCAGCGGGTGACCTCAACTCCTCAAGTCCTTTCCTCCCATGTTAACTTTTTCCTGCCACTCATTTTAAGCTGAACTTGGATATCTGTCATCATGTCCCTTGTTGGCAGAAATGGTTTCTGAATGGAATTCTCTCTACTGAGATTATTTTTGTCTGGATTATTATTTGCTATTGGGTGTAAGATTTTGGTTTATATGTAGTCTTTACTAATCTCTACATTTTGAGAACTGAGTAAAGATCAGAATTTTAGTTTGTTTAAAAAACTTAAAACTTGGACAGTGGTGATGGTGGCATAGCAGTGTGAATGTACCTAATGTAACTGAACTGTATAGTAAAAATGGGTAAAATGGTGCCCAGCTGGTGTGGCTCAGTGGTTGAGCGTCGACCCATGCACCAAAAGATCGCCGGTTCAATTCTCAGGGCACAAGCCCAGGTTGTGGGCCTGATCCCTGGTGGGGAGCATGCAGGAGGTGGCCAGTCGATGTTCTCTCTCATCCATGTTTCTATCTCTCTCTCTCTCTCTCTCTCTCTCCCTTCCTCTCTCTCTAAAATCAATAAAGGAAAGAAAAAAAAATGGGGTAAAATGGTTAATTTTATGTCATGTGTATTTTACCACTCACAGAAAACTTAAAAACCTATTTTTCTCATTTACTTTTCTCCTGCTTTTCCTAATTCTCCTAGCCTGAGATATTCTTTGATGTGGTCAGCCTCTCCACATGGCAAGAAGTATTGAGTGACTCCCAACGTGAACACCTCCAGCAGTTTCTGCCTCACTTTCCTGAAGACACTATTGAGCAGCAGAATCAGCTCATCCTGGCCCTGTTCAGCGGGGAGAACTTCCGCTTTGGGAACCCTCTGCACATTGCCCAGAAGCTTTTCCGAGGTGTGTAGCTCAGCAGTCTGTTTGAGAGGGGTGGGAGGTGGGAACACATTCACTTCTGTGAACACTGCTTTCTTCATTTTGTCTGTCTGTTTTTATGTGCAGATACCAACTTAGCAGCTGGGTTTGTCAACATTTGCTGCCTAGGCCATTCTTTTTTTAAGTAAAATTTTTTAACTTACATAGGACAGACGTAAATCATATAAATCCATGATTTATTATTAATATGAACTCAGCTGTGTAAAACCACCACCTAGATCAAGAAATAAAACATTACCAACATCTTAGAGGCACCTTTAAAATTAGTCTTTAAAGTTTTTTAATAATAGTTTACCTTTTGTGTTTTTACGTGTGTGTGTGTCTGAATCACGTACATGTTTCTGCAGAAAACATGCCACTACTGCCAAACCCTTTAGCATCTGTGTATCTCTTAAGAAGGACATTCTCTCACATGATCACAGTCCTATTATCACACTCAAGAAATTTTACTTTGGGCAAATAATATCACAGAATACCCCAAATGCAGATTTTTTCAGTTCCCAAATGTCCTTTTTATTTATTTTTTATCCTAACCCAAGGACATTTTTGCATTTATCTTCAGATAGAGCGGGAGGGAGAGAGGGAGGAAGAGAGAGAAACATCCACATGAGACAGACACATCGAGTGGTCACCACCCTTACGACCCCAACCAGGGCCAGGGCCAGGGCCAAACTGCAACTGAGGTACGTGCCCTTAAGCGGGAACCGAACCTGGGACTCTCCAGTCTGCGGGCCGATGCTCTAACCGCTGAGCCAAACTGGCCAGGGCCCACATGTCCTTTTTAGTTGCCTCTTAAATTGAGGACCAATTCAAGATTCATACATTGTGTTTAGATCTCACGTCTCTTCATTTCCTGAGTCCAGTGCCCTCTGCCTTTTTTTCCCCTTTGTCTTTCAAAACACTGATGTTTTTGAAGAGTCTAGGGCTCACGAATTGTAAAACATCCTGTTTTCTGGGGGATTGTCTTCTTGTTTTCTCATGATTAGATTTGAGTTAAACATTTTTGCCAAGAATACTGTTTGGGAAATGTTATTTCTTTCCCACCATCCTCTCTAGGCACATGATACCCATTTTTCCATTGTTGGTAATATTGTGTTTGATCCCTTGTTTAAGGGATGTCTGCCCGACCTAGTGTTTGGATGGGTAACTTTTTTTCTTTATAATTAAGAAAGCAATCTGTGAGGTTATACTTTGGGACCATGTGATAATCTTATTTCCCAAAAACCTGTTTTGCTCAGTGGTTTTAGCCCCCAGTAATGATTCTTTCCCGAATCAGTTGTTACACTGGGGATAGCAACGTGGTTTGGAGCCACTCTCAAGTCCCTGTTCCTCTCTGCCCTGTAGAGAGGAGCAGAGGATGCCTCTTCCTCTCCTTTCTGCGGTGCAGCTGCGGTGGCAGGGGGCTCGAAAGGACAGTGTATCTCCTTGGGTTTTATTAAACTGGCTAACTCGACAGCTGCAAAAGCCTGGAGTGAACATGCTCATTGTTCCGACCTCTCATTATCTTAAGGTTTAAGGTCAGCAGTCTCTCCTTTGGTGGGTTGTTAGTGTAAAGAGGAATTTCTCTCCGTGGTTGGCAGCGGTTGATTTCCCTGAAGCCAGGGGCCTCAGGCGGGAGGAAGCCAATTCTTCTAATAGAGCCGGCTTGGTTTTAGAGGCTCGTGTCAGGGACCTTATGTGATGTTACTGCTATCTATTTTGCTGTCATGTTTTCTCCCTAAACAGCATGATAGGCTGGTAAGGATAGAAGCAAGGAGAGGTGAGGCTGGAATTTCTGTCCATTTCGCTCTGTCCAGGGTCATATTTCAGTTCTGCTGTTGCTGAAAGCAGTGGCATTACTGTGGTTATTGTGGTTATCAGTCTTTTTTTTTTTAATTTATTTTTATTACAGATGTTTCTCCTTTTTCCCCCCATTAACCCCCTTCTCCCCATCCCCTCCCACCCCATCCCCAGCTTTGTTGTCTGTGTCCATCAGTTTGGTTATCAGTCTTAACTGAGCTATCATTGCTTCCTTTTTTAATGAAAGAAAAAAAATTTTTTAACTACATTTAGTATACAAAACTGTATTAGTTTCAGGTGTGAGCTATCATTTCTTTTTGGTATTCTTTTACCTTTGGTTATCTTTCCTGATTGTTTTTACAATATTCACCTTTTCCTTAAGTTCTAAGTGCTCATCAGACTCCTTTGCCTCCTATTTCATAAAGGAAAGGCTCATTCATCATAAACTCCAACTTCCCTCTTCCATCCTTCACCCCAGTTCACTGAATTCATTTCCATTCTGACCTGCTTTACTTGTCTCAAAGGACGTAGAATTTTTCTTCTGCTTAAGATTAACCTCTGGCCTGGCCAGTTTGGCTCAGTAGTTAGAGTGTCAGCCCGTGGACCAGAGAGACTTGGGTTCGGTTCCTGCTAAGGGTACGTACCTCGGTTGCAGTTTGTCCTCGGCCCCGGCTGGGGTCATGTGGGTGGCAACCAGTCGATGTGTCTCTCTCACATTGATGTTTCTTTCTCTTCCTCCCTCTCTCCCTTCTGCTCTATCTGAAGATAAATGCAAAAATGTCCTCGGGTGAGAATTAAAAAAAAAGATTAACCTCTGCTCTTGATGCTTTTTGTCCTTTTCTGGGACCTTGTTTCCTCAGGTAACCATTCTCTCTGCTTAGATACTCACTCCACTCGCTGTTTTTCAGCCTCTAGATATGCATGGCTCTCTTACTCAAAGAAGTCTTAACCATCTGTCCCCTTTATTGTCCTCTATCATTTTTCTTGATCTCCATACTTTTGGAAAGGTGTCTATAGCTGTCCCTTTCAGTTAATCTGCCCTGACCCCTTATGGCTGTTCCTTTACTACCCCCACAGGACTGCTTTTACCAGTGCCACCAGTAACCTCTTTTTACTTTCCCTTCAACTTTTTTTTTTTTATCCTCACCCGAGGACATTTTTCCATTTTTTGTTCAGGTAGAGTGGGAGGGAGAGAGAGGAACAGAGAGAGAGAGAGAAACATCGATGTGAAAGGAACACATCGAGTGGCTGCCACCCGCACAACCGACCAGGGCCGGGGACAAACTGCAACCGAGGTACATGCCCTTAGCGGGAACCGAACCCGGGTCTCTCAGGACCGCAGGCTGACGCTCTAACCGCTGAGCCAAACCGGCCAGGGCTCCCTTCAACTTTTTACTTTTACATTTCAAACCTACAGAAAAGTTACAAGAATTTATAATGGACACTCGTATATATTCTTTACTAGGTTCGTCAATAACTAGCATTTGGCCACATTTAGCCCTGGCATTTAGCTTAGTTGGTTAGAGTGTCTTCCTGATACACCAGGGTTGCAGGTTTGATTCTGATCAGGATACATACAAGAATTAACCGAGGAAAACAGAAATAAGTATAACAACAAATCAATGTTTCTGTCTCTGCCTCCCATCCTCCCCTCTTTCCTGTCTCTCTCTAAAAATATCCATAAATAAAAAAAATATTTTGCCACATTTATTTTCTTATCATTATAGTACTTGTTACTGTTATTATTTTTGCTGAAACATTTGAGAGCATTGCAGCCATAGCACCCCTAAATTTTTTAGTATTAATCGCTGAAGAATAAGAACATTCTCTTACATAACTACAAATGATCAAATTCAGAAATACAGGAAATTTTTGTATTTAAATATGAAATTTAACATTGACGTATTGTTATATATAGTCTATATTCATTATATCTCACCAGTTATATTGCACCCTTTTTGGTGTATGGGAGGATACTCCAAGCAACTGAGCCACCCGACTGTGGCAAATAATATTTTCTTTAACTCAGTATATCCTAAATATTATTTTAACAAAGGTGTAACATTTAGTAACTGTCTAAAAGGGAAACTCAAGACTGAAGGAATATAACTTCAAAGAAGCACAGAGGCAAAGAAGTAGAATATTAGTCTAATTTCTATATATCAAATAGCATCATTCATGTTAAACTCTTGGCTCACTTCTTGAAGATCAAATTTCCAATTTCCCTATAGCATGGTGGTTAAGAGCTGGGGCTCTGGAAGTGCCGGAGTACCCGGAGTGAAATCCAGTTTTCCCCTGTATTAGCTGTGTGACCTGGCAAGTTATTTAACTTCTCTATGCCCCAGTAAAAGGAGGATTTAGTGGTACCTTCTTTATGAGGTTGTTATAAAGTTAATACAGGCAAAGCCCTTACATGGTGGCAGTTACATGTACTCTTCTAAGTGTTTGCTGTCATTAGTTACCTTGGATACAATTAGGGTAGTTGGGGAAAAAAACCACCTTGTGCTTTAACCTCTTAAGCTTTCTGAGATTAGCTTCTCCATCATTCCCTCTTAGTTCTCATCAGAGCCTACCTGCTCAAATCTACTGTGTCCAGAGTGGACCTCTTTTATTTATTTTTTATTTATTTATTTATAATCCTCACTGGAGGACATTTTTCCATTTTTTGTTCAGGTAGAGTGGGAGGGAGAGAGAGGAAGAGAGAGAGAGAGAAACATCGATGTGAAAGGGATACATCGAGTGGCCGCCACCCGCACAACCGACCAGGGCCGGGGACACACTGCAACTGAGGTACGCGCCCTTAGCGGGAACCGAACCCGGGTCTCTCAGGACCGCAGGCCGACGCTCTAACCGCTGAGCCCAACCGGCCAGGGCCAGAGTGGACCTCTTTTAGACCTTCTCTCAGGCAGTGAGTGGTACTAATTACTCATGTTCAGTCATCTAGGTACTATGCTCACTTGACCTCTCCATTGCTCCCCTTCCTGCTCCAGCATCTGAACTATCAGCAGCCCTAATCTTTCTTACTCAAAAATGTGTTCCAAGTCTGCTTCTACTCATTTAACTACTATTTACTAATTAGCCAGTATGTGCCAGGCATTGTTGGTGGTTCTGGAGATAGAGTAATGAATACTGTTAACAGTCTAATAGAGAAAAACAGATGATGAATAAGCAAATATTTGTTGGTTTAAGTGCTACAAAGAATAAGAAAGGGTAGTGGGACTAGAGTGCTGGAAGGAGCAGCTTTAGGAAAGGCGTTCGGGCAGGTCTTCTCCAGTGAGGTAACAGTTGAACAGAAACTTCATGAAAGTAGGGGGAGCAAGCCATGCAAATAGTGGGTGTTAATAGGGAGCATTGCAGGCAAGAGAGGGCTTTAAATACAGGGGTCTTGAGAGCCCTGACTGGTTTTGGTCAGTGGTTAGAATGTTAAGCTGTGAAACCAAAGAGTCACAGGTTAGATTCTGGTCAAGGGCACGTACTTCGGATGTAGGTCATCTCCAGCCCTGGTCAGTGTTGTGCGGGAGGCAGCCAGTCTCTGTGTCTCTCCCACATTGATGTCTGTTCCCCGCCCCCACTTTATCTGAAGAGGAAAGAAGAAAAAAATACCCTAGGTGAGGATAAAAAACAAAGGCCTTGAGAAAGTAGGGTATGTGGACTGTTCAGGAAACAGCATGGAGGCCGGTGGGGATGGGGTAGAGTGAGCAAAAGGGAGACTGCTAGAAGATGAGGCCAAAGATGGCTCGAGACAGGTCATGAAGGGCCTTGTCGCCCCTCTTTAGGGTCTCCGCTGATACTGAATGTGGAGGCAAACCATGGGCCCAAGTCACCATCATCTCTCACCTAGACCGCTACAGTAGTTTTTCTCCTGTTGCTCCCAGCCATGTCATTCTCCTGCTGTAAATCTTTCAAGTTATTTTTGTTGCATTAAGGATAGAGTCCATGCATGGCCTAAATGTTTCTGTGTGGTTTGATCTTAGCCCACCTTCCCAGGTTTTTTTGTGCCACACCTCAGCTACAGCCTACTCTGCATTAGTCCTCAGACATTTCTTTGTTTTGGAACATGCCAAGTTTGTTCTTGCTTCAAGGCCTACTTTAGCACATACTGTTCCTTTTGCCTTTTCCCTATTTTTAGTTCTTTTTTTTTTTTTTTTCTTTTTGATATTTTGTTCAGATAGTGGGGGGGGGAGAGAGAGAGAGAGAGAGAGAGAGAGAGACACATCGCCGTGAAAGGGACACATCGAGCGGTTGCCACCCTCACAACCCAACTGGGGCCGGGGACAAACTGCAACTGAGGTACATGCCCTTAGTGTGAACCGAACCCGGGTCTCTCTGGACCGCAGGCCGACGCTCTAACCACTGAGCCAAACCGGCCAGGGCTTTAGTTCTTATTTTTTAAATTCCCATATATTTTATATTCCTCCCAGTTTTTCATTTTGAAACTTTTTTTAAAATTATTTTTGTTACAGATGTTTCTTCTTTCCCCCCCACTGACACTCTCCTCCCAATCCCCCCCTCATTTTGAAACTTCTATGCATGTGGAAAAGTTGAAAAATAATGCAACACTCAGGTAACTTTCACCTATATTTATCAGTTGTTAATATTTTGCCACACTTGCTTTAATCAGGCTTCATTTTATGTATCATTCTTTGAGATCCCTTTCCAGATTTAACTCTCCTTACCCTTCACAATTCTCTTAAGTTAATTTCCTTATAGTACTTAAGAGAGTTGAATATTATTTATCTGTTCACCTGTTTATTTTCTGTCTGTCCCACTAGACTGTAGCCTCCACATAGACAAAGGTTATCTCCTCCCTATACACTGTATTCCAGTTTAGTAGAGTTGACCACATTTTAAACACATTAAATATTTGTTGACTGATGTGTGTGTATTTGTACCTCTGTTCGCTTAAGATGGACACTTTAACCCTGAGGTGGTCAAGTACCGGCAGCTGTGCTTCAAGTCACAATACAAGCGATACCTCAGCTCTCAGCAGCAGTATTTCCATCGGCTGCTGAAGCAGATTCTGGCTTCCCGGAGTGTAAGTAATGTTGGGAGCTGGGTGTACAGCGGGGGCAGTGAACGCACAGATTTCAGGACTTTAAGAAGTGGCTCAGGTACAAATGCAAAAGATGCCACTAAGAAAAGAATACTGTCAATTAAGCCAAGACACAGTTAAGCTGCATTATCCTGTTTTATGATTAATTTTAAGATGTACCCTGATTTCAGAGGTGTTAAAATGGGGGGGAGGGAATGGTACCTCTTAAAATTGATGAAATGTTGTAGCTTCAGTATTTACCAGCATAGATAAGTGGCTTTCAGAGCCATCGTGGCTTGTGGATGAGCCAGATTGCTGTGGAGTCGATGTATATGCGGGCCTCGGGGTGACCTGGCAGGTGTGCAGCGCGCCCAGCTCCGTGGCCCTGGGACTGCCCCAGCCGGTGGCTCTCCAAGGCAGAGGCTTTAAGTGGTTTAAGCTTCAGTATGGAAATATTTGGGTGTCTAGTATAATAAGTATTCATTTTTGGTGGAGCAGGTCAACACTCAGTTTTAGAATTTTCACCATGTGATAATCAAAATAGGCCTTTTTTTTTTTTTTTTTTACATAATCACATGTGCATCTTTCCTTGTGATCTGGAGGGAAGGAATTGAACAGTGAAGAGAAGAACGGGTAGACTTGAGAATGTGCCAGAACAAGTTTCCGGTGACGACGTGTTCCCCCATGGTCTCTTCCCAGGACCTATTGGAGATGGCCCGTCGGAGCGGCCCAGCCCTCTCCCTCCGGCAGAAGCGCCCTTCGCCGTCCCGCACCCCCGAGGAGCGGGAGTGGCGGACCCAGCAGCGCTACTTGAAGGTGTTGCGGGAAGTGAAGGAGGAGTGTGGTGACACAGCCCTGTCCTCTGATGAAGAGGGTGAGTGTCTTGGGCACTTGGGGTAGCTGAGGTATTGGATTGACACCAGCAGCCTTTGGTTTGGTTGGAGCCAGTGGTACCATTTATCTTCCCAGCAAAGAAGCCACCCGAGTTGTCTGTCTGGGGGGTGGATGTTCCTGAGAAGTGGGGCGAGACTACACATCTTTTTCTTACTTTTGATTCTTAAGTAGCACTTGGTTTAGATGAGGTGAATCCCTGCACGGCAGGGCTCTCCACAGTAGGCCTGGCTGGTCCTGTTGTGCCACTTGAGAGAACTGCTTTTCCCCTTACAGGAGAGTAGTAGTGACTGTTGGCCTGCTGCAATGCGACCCCATCACTCTGTTGAAGTCTCTCTTCCTGGAAGAGCCGTTTAAATGACCTAAGTGTGCTCCCGTTCGCCTGGGGAAGGGTCAGAAAGGAATGGTGGAACCCTGGCCTCCATGTTGTTGGCTTATCCTTGTTGAATCCAAATGGCCACTTACCCAGTCTCCCCTGTTGGAGTCCACAGCCACGTTGGATTTACAAGAAACATTTTCTTTTGAAGATCTCAGCTCATGGCTTCCGAGCTCTCCAGCACGTTCTCCTAGCCCTGCGGTGCCCCTGAGGGTGGTGCCCACGCTTTCGACCACGGATATGAAAACTGCAGGTGAGAACTAAGTTGATGCTGTTGACGTCTGGGAAATCCGGAGGTAGATTTAACTCCCTTCGAGGGAGGTGGGTACCAGATTCTTACCTGCCAGGAAACAAAGCAGTGTTTCTTAGAATTGGAGAGTTTTTTGTACAGTTCCACTTTTTTTTTTTATCCTTACCTGAGCACATTTTTCCATTTTTTGTTCAGATAGAGTGGGAGGGAGAGACAGGAAGAGAGAGAGAGAGAGAGAGAAAGAGGGAGAGAGAGAGAGAGAGAGAGAAACATCGACGTGAAAGGGATACATTGAGTGGCTGCCACCCACACGACCTAACCAGGGCCGGGGACAAACTGCAACTGAGGTGCGTGCCCTTAGGGGGAACCAAACCCAGGTCTCTCTGGACCACAGGCCGATGCTCTAACCGCTGAGCCAAACCAGCCAGGACTACAGTTCCACTTTTTTATAAATATGTAGGTCTTCCTTCCTTTGAATTTTTTTTTAAATCCTCACCCGAGGATATTTTTTTCCATTTATCTTTAGATATAGTGGGAGGGAGGGAGAGGGAGAGGAGAGATAAGAGAGAGAAACATTGATGTGCGAGAGACACATTGATTGCTTGGCTCCCTCATGACCCCGACCAGGGCCAGGGATGGAACCACAACTGAGGTATGTGTCCTTGACCGGGATTGAACCCACGACTCTTTGGTTATGGGCCGGCACTCTGCCCACTGAGCCAAATTGGCCAGGGCTGAAATTTTTTTCTTAGGAGCTGATCAGCTGGTATTTTGGGCTAAAGCAGAATCTTCAAATAGCATTACTAAGGGATACTTCAGTAATAGAACAAAAGGGGTAACTGGAGCCATAGCAATTTCTTGGAACATTTGTGAAATTAGAGAATAATTTTTTAAAATATATTTTTATTGATTTAAAAGAGGGGAAGGGTGATAGAGGGAGAGAGAGGAACGTTGATCGGCTGCCTCCTGCACACACCCTGGCTGGGGATTGAGCCCGCAGCCTGTGCATGTACCCTGACTGGAATTGAACTGGCGACCTTTCGGCGCACAGGGCGATGCGCAACCAACTGAGCCACACCAGCCAGGACAGAGAAGAATTTTCAATTGGGGCAGGAATTGAAGAATGTTAAGAACCTTTAATGTGTTTTAGGAGCAGCTCAGTAACTGAGGTCATGGTTTTTGAGCAAAATGTAAAAAAACTGAAGAGTGACCTTGTGGCTATTCAAGATTGTAGTACATAGTAGTCAGAACGAAAACTCAGAAATATCTTACTTTTGACTGTCACAGGTGACCAGAAAGACTTAAATTTCAGCATCATGTTAGTGTATGACCTAGTGTATGTGGTTTGGTTCATTTTTTCTCAGATAAAATAGAACTGGGGGACAGTGACCTGAAGATAATGCTAAAGAAGCACCATGAGAAGCGGAAACATCAACCAGTAAGTTTGGGGGCAGGGTGTGTGCTCATTAGTGGTTTTTCACTATAAAGTCTTTGGATTGGCTATTGTAAGGAAGATACAGGTAGTCACTTCCTTATTTCTGCTTCTTTCCTTATCGTTGCTAGAGGACAAAATAACCAGAGAAGCTAGTTGACACTTAACTTTGACTTTATAAGGCGTGTTTAACGTAGTGTCTGATTTAATCTTTATTCAAGACTGGTGTGTGAGTCAGATTTTTTTTTTACCAGATTTTTTTTTACAGAGAGGTTAAGGAGCTTGTCCTTGTCCCTACAGCTAGTAAGTGGAAAAGCCAAGAGGCAGAGCCTATGCTCTTCCCACTTTTTACTGTTTCTCCACCTAATCGAAGTTCATTCCAGTACAGCCAGAGAGCACAGTGGAGGAAGAAGAGGCAGTTTGTCTAAGGCCCAGTGGTGAGACGGGAAGAGTCCCACAGTGGAAGTCAGAACTGACTTGTCTGTCTTTCCTGCTTACTCTGTGGTATTAGGTAAATCCCTTTCCGTCTCTGAATCCCATTTTCAGACTGTAAAATAAGATCTTTACACGACTATTTGAGGAGCACATGAGATAAGGAATGCGGAAGAGCTTTGTAAACTGTGAATGCCATCCAATAGAAAGGTTGGAGCTGGGCTCTCCTCTGCCTCGTTTAAAGAGCAGTTTTTATCTCTGTATATTTTTAATTCAACGTGATTTTCTTAAGTGCACGTAACAGCTAATTATCTGTTAGGTGAGTTGGCCAAACCTCCAGCAGTTTCAGCTCCGTGTTGAGGCCTCCATAACATATCTCTGAATATCACATCTAGGATCATCCGGACCTTTTGACGGGGGACCTGACTCTCAATGACATCATGACTCGAGTCAATGCTGGCAGGAAAGGTTCTCTAGCAGGTAAATGACGCCTTCTATAGGTAGCCATCATCTGACTGTGGTGTTACATTATGTGAACCTGTCTACATGTTGAAAAATAAATGAAATCAAGGTTTCTTCTTGCTGATAACTTTTTTTGGCTATTGCCTCTAATGGATTTATAGGCAGAAAATCAGAACAACCGATCATTGGTACCTTAATAACTTAAAATTAATTTGTGAGTTAATCTTTGGGTTTGGTAAACAAAACTAAATATCTTATTGTTGGATTTTTCTTTTACTGATGGGCTTGAGAAAATAATATGCTGATGAGACCCCTCACTTCCTGTTGTAGAAATTGCAGTTCTGTGATTTTTGTTGCTTTTTCTTCCCAGCCCTATATGACTTGGCTGTCCTTAAAAAAAAGGTTAAGGAAAAAGAGGAGAAGAAGAAGAAGAAAATAAAATTGATCAAATCAGAGACAGAGGACTTGGCTGAGCCCTTAAGCAGTACTGAAGGGATCCCATCTCTCTCACAGGCCCCATCCCCATTGGCAGGACCTGCTATCAAGGAGGAGTAAGTGAGCACAGAGGTTACTGCTTCAGGGTGGAAGCTGAAGCTGAAGGGTGTGCCCAGTGTGGGTGCTTGGTGTGGACTGGTTCGTGTTGGACCTGTGAGCCGGGGGTCCCAGCGTCCTGCTAGGGCAGTGTGTCGTGTGGTCCTTGGTTGAACTTTTTGTGACTGACAGGAGGCATAGAGGGCCTAAACCAGTTCTAGTGATGTGTTCTTGATCTTTTTTGTTCTTATATTTTTCTTCCCTCATTAGGCCTCTGGAAGACCTCAAGCCTTGCCTTGGAATCAATGAAATATCTTCCAGCTTTTTCTCTCTCCTACTAGAGATCTTGCTGCTCGAGGGGCAGTCTAGCCTTCCTGTGGTGAGTGTTTTGGAAAAGTCAGATGTTCATCAAAGTTTTCAAATTGTGGAGATATTTAGTGGTCTGTAGCTTGAGAAGCAGAACTCTGGGTTGTTCCCCAAGCCCTGGAGCTGATTTGCTCTGTGGCTTGGGCAGCCTGACAGGCCCACCCCAGCTTGCCCTGGCACATCTGGAATTGCTGGTGTGGTGTAGGCGTGTAACCGTCCTGCCTTTGCTTGCCTGCAGCTAGAGGAGCGGGTTTTGGATTGGCAGTCGTCTCCGGCCAGCTCCCTCAACAGCTGGTTCTCTGCAGCCCCCAACTGGGCAGAGTTGGTGTTACCGGCCCTGCAGTATCTTGCTGGAGAAAGCCGTGGTAAGGTACTTTTTTCTGTAGGGTCAGTATTTTTCAACCCACTTTATCTAGTTAACTCTCATAGTGAACTGCAGCTTTACTGGGTAAAACCATTATGGCTTGCATAATGCCATGCCTTGGAGGTCTCTGCTACCCTGCTACCCCTAAACATTCAGAAGTTATCCCTGTTATCTCGGAGCTGAGGGATGTTGGTTACTATGAGTTTAGAACTGTCTCTGACCCGTGTGGCTTGTTCATGTAATCCATTTCTTGCAGCTGTACCTTCCAGTTTCTCTCCATTTGTTGAGTTCAAAGAGAAAACCCAGCAGTGGAAATTGCTTGGTAAGAAATTTCATATTACCTACCCATAATACTAGGTTTTCATTCTCTCAATTCCTCCCCTAAGCTTCTTTCACCTTCCATTTAGTAGTATAGCCCAGTAGAAGGTTGAAAAGGGCAATGTTAAATCTTTTTTGCCCAGTAAATGACTCCTTTATGATCCCTTTGGTACTCAGAGTTTCACTCCTTCCACACACCACCCCCTTGGATTTTGGTGCCCCCGACGCTGAGATTTAATAGCCCTTCTGTTATGGTGCGTTCTGGTGCTGGCTACGTTTAAATACACTGAGTTGTACCTGTGGTTTTAGATTAATTTGTAATAAAATCGTTTTGTGTTTTGTTTTTTTTTTCTCCTTAAAATGGGCTTTGCAATTGAAGATAATGTGCAGCAGGAGGTTGGACAGCTCGGAATAAGCTGTTTTTAGGAACAAAATCCTTGGTTTTATTTTACGTTTATTACACTTACTGTGTAATTGTGGTGACTGTAACCTGGTGATGGTGATAAGAGGAAAATCAGTGTTGATTTCACATTGAAATTCGTAAACCTTTCTCTTTACTCTCTCGAGTAGTCTATGAGGAGATGTATGGGGAGAAGCAGTAGATTCATTAATTCTTATAACATGTATTCAGCTTCTAGGTGTCAGGCCCTGTGTTAGGTGCAAGGGGATGTAATGGTTTCCAAGTTATAGACAGCATGCTTCCCCCATGGGGTTTCAGGTTTGTTTGGGAAACTAGTCATTCAGAAAAGCAGACTTGCACACTCTGTAAGGGAAGAGTACCAGAAAGGATAGAAGTTATAAAGAGGCATTGGTGTAGTCTGTAGAATCAGGAAGGACCTTCCTGAGGAAGATGATTAGGAAGGAGCCAGGCAGACAGAAGGAAGGACATTCCAGGTGGAGTAAGCAGTATGGGCTCCTGGTGCGGAGAAGCTGCCGTTCATAAAGCTCACACTGCGCAGAGATAAGGATAACCTGGCCCTGGGGGAGAGAGTGGGTAACTTCAAGAATATCTTGGGTGGGAAGAGCCGCAGGAGTCGGTATGAATTGGACATGGGAGTGAAGGAAGAGGGCTGTCAAGCATCCCTTTGCTGGATTTGTATTTCGTGATGAGGTGTCATTTATGGAAGTAGGCAGCTGTGGAAGACGTCCAGACTTGGATGAGGGTGAAGGTCATGAGTTTAGTTTGAGGTGTGCCGAGTTTGAGCGGCCTTTGAGGCATTTATTAAGTGGAGATATTGAATAGGCAGTAGGATACTGCCTATTTGGCTTTAGAATCCAGGCCAGAGTCGAGGTAGAGAGTTGTTGGCACATCCAGTACTTAAAGTCAGTGGCATAGGGAGAAAGTGCAAAATGAGTAGGAAAGAGGGCCAAGCACTAAGCCTTGAGCAACTGGGGGCAGGGAGGCCGGAGCACGTGGAGAGACAGTCGACTCTCGGAAACAGGTAATGAGAGAGTCAGGAATTGGGGAGTGGTCATTAGCCTTGATTGTTACTGAAAGATTCAGAAAGATAAAGACTGGGGACTTGTACACACGGAAGAAGTGATGAATTTCTTGTAAGAGTGATTCTTACCAAAATGACAAGAGTTAAGGACGGTGGTGAGCTGAAGGCGAGTCCTGATAGCTGACTGCAGCTCCTTCCGACTGTCAAGCTGGTGCTTGAAATCAGCCACGGTGGACACCTGCGCCGGGATGGCACGCATGGTAGGACCAGATAATAGGTGTTTTAAGCTTGTGGGTCGGATGCTGTGTTGCATCTACTCAGCCCTGCTGTCGTGGTGCAAAGCAGCTGTAGACAGTATGTAAATGAAAAGACATGGCTGTGTGCCCGTAGAAATTTGTGTACAAAAACAGGTGGCCCCTTTGCTGTCCCTTAATGTGCCCCGTGGAGATTTGCAAATGCTGCCAGTCAGGGCCCCTTTCTTGCAGCCAGTGAAACATTTACCTGTACACACTGGTTAAAGAGAGAGTGAATCTCGTTAACTTAAAAATAAAAGCCTTTCAAAGTGAGAGGCAACAAGCGTTTATTTGAGATTAAAAAAAGAATAGTCATTTGAGAAGCATTGATTCAGGCAGAAGCCCAGATAATCTTCCAGTTAGGAGACAAAAGCAGTGGGTATTTATGAGGACGGGAAGGGGAACAGTCACATCAGAAGGAAGGTGTTTCTTTTGGTGCAGGTAAACTAACAGTGAAGGGAACTGGTATCACCAGACCAGTAGTCATACTGCTTTCTGGTTATCTTTGCACACAGTTCTTTGGGGCACAGTATTGCGTTAGGCTCAGAGCAGAGATGATTTGCCGTGTTTTAACATTCCAAATGTTTAAGGCATAAGACGTGCGAGGCCGTTCCTCTGGCGTGGCAGCTCTTCTCTATTTTAAAGTGTCTCTATTTATTATTTTATTGACAATTTGAACAATTCTAGAGAATTAGCAAGGGAGGGGAAGATAATAAGGGGAACTTGTGGCCAAGAGAGAAGTTGTTTTTTAAAATGTGTATTTTTATTGATTTTTTCAAAGAGAGGAAGGGGGAGAGAGAGAGACATCTATCGGCTGCCTCCTGCACGTCCCCTACTGGGGATCGAGCCTGCAACCTGGGCTTGTGCCCTGACAGGGAAGCAAGCCAGGACCACTCAGTCCACTGATCCACATCTGCCATGTGAGAGGAATGTTTTTAAATAAGGGAAACTTTGAGTGCAAGTGTTGGTGAAGAGTGCAGTGGGAAGGAGGAGGTTGCAAATACAGGAGAGAAGGGAACGTTAATTGTACGCATTCCTGAGATGAGGGGAAGGGACTGACCTAGGATGGCAGGAGATGGCACATTTATTACAATAGGAGGAAAGAATGGATTCACAGCAGTAGCCTTATAGTGGGGATTGGGGGGGGGTTGCTCTGCTGGCTTTTCTGTTAAAGTCGTAGGTGAGTGATGGTCTATTGTGAGAATGGAGGTTGAGACAAGTGGGGAATAGTTACTATCGAGCATGGGAACCCAGCTCCGCCAGAGATGACATTAGATAGCTGGGTATTGTTGGGGCCAGTGGAGGCTGCTTGTGTTTCTCTGACAGCCCTCAGCTGTCCGAGCTGAAGCCTGGAGAATGTGGATTGTTTAGAATTTGAGTTTTGCCAGGTTGGAATGATGAGGTAAAACAGCAGAGTTATTAGATATTACTATATTGGTAAGTGTGTAATTGAAATGGTGGCCACAGACTCTGAACTAACCGGGAGAGAGTGGGAAGGGAGGGGGCTAATGTGATCTGAGAATGGCCTAGCAGTTCTTTTGAGTCAGAATAACGTTTTGGTGGGAGGAGCTAAACAAGGAGGAAATCTAGGTGACTGTAGTCAGGGGGCAGAAGTGTGGATTAGTATGAAGGTTCTGAGCCCTGGCTGTGTACTGCAGTCTGTGGGGGAACTTCTAAAAAGTACTGATGCCTAGGCTGTACCTACAGACCTGCTGGTTTTTTAAAAAAATTTATCTTTATCGTTGGAAGTATTACAGATGTCCTCCTTTTTTCCCCATTGACCTCCTCCACCAAGCTCCCGCCAGGCCCCCAGACCTTCACCACACTATTGTCTGTGTCCATTGGTTATGCATATGTGCATATAAATTCTTTGGTTAATCTCCTCCTGCACCCCTCCCTGCTTCCCTCTGAGATTCCTCAGTCTGTTCTGTGCTTCCATGTCTTTGGATCTAGCTGGTTTGTCAGTTTATTTTGCTCATTAGATTCCACCTAAAAGTAAAATCATGTGATATTTGTCTTTCTCTGACTGGCTTTTTTTTTTTTTAATTCTCAGCCGAGGACATTTTTCCATTTTTTGTTCAGATGGAGTGGGAGAGAGAGAGAGGAAAAGAGAGAGAGAAACATCGACGTGAAAGGGACACATCAAGTGGCTGCCACCCGCACGACCAACCAGGGTCAGGGACAAACTGCAACCGAGGTCCATGCCCTTTTTGGGAACCGAACCCGGGTCCCTCTGGACCACAGGCTGACGCTCTAACCGCTGAGCCAAACCGGTCAGGGCTGTTTCAGGATTCTTAGGATATATTCCTAGAAGTGAGATCACTGAGTCAATGCCAATTCAATTTTTAATTTTTTGAGGAAACTCCATACTGTTTTCCATAGTTGCGACAGCAGTCTGCATTCCTACCAGCAGTGTACTAGGGGAGCCTTTTCTCCACATCCTCCCCAGCAACTGTCATTTGTTTATTTGGTGATGGCAGCCATTCTGAGAGGTGTGAGGTGATATCTGATTTTCCTTTTAATTTGCATCTCTCTGATGATTAGTGACATTGAGCATTTTTCATATGTCTCTTGGCCATTTGTATATCCTCTTTGGAGAAATATCTATTCAGGTCCTCTGCATATTTTTATTTTTATTTATTTTTATTTTTTTATTCCTCACCCGAGGATATTTTTCTGTTTATCATCAGGTAGAGTGGAAGGGAGGGAGAGAGAGAGACAGAGAGAAACATCGATGTGATAGAGCCACATCGACCGGTTGCCTCCCGCACAACACAACCAGAGGTGGGGATGAACTGCAACCGAAGCACATGCCCCTGACCATAATCGAACCCATGACTCATTAGTCCGTGGGCCGATGCTCTAACCACTGAGCAAAACCGGCCAGGGTCTGTGCATATTATGTATGTATGTATGTATGTATTTATTTCCTCACCCGAGGACATTCCTCCATTTTTTGTTCGGATAGAGTGGGAAGGAGGGAGAGAGAGAAACATCGACGTGAAAGGGACACATCGAGTGGCTGCCACCTGCACCACCCAGCCAGGGCCGGGGACAAACTGCAACCGAGGTACATGCCCCTAGCGGGAACTGAACACAGGTCTCTCTGGACTGCAGGCCAACGCTCTAACCGCTGAGCCAAACTGGCCAGGGCCCTCTGCATATTTTTAAATTGGATTGTTTGTCTTCCTTTTGTTGCATGAGTACTTTATATATTTTGGAAATGAACCCATTAACCAGAGACATCCTTGGAAAATAAGTTCTCCCATATAGTGGGCTCCCTTTTCATTTTGATGATGTTCTTTTTTGTTGTGCAGAAACTTTTTAATTTGATTCCCCATTTGTTTATTTTTTTCTTTGTTTCTCTTGCCCTAGGCTATGAATTGGTGGCAATTTTGCTATGTGAGATGTCTGAAATATTGCTGCCTTTGTTTTCTTCCAGGATTTTTATGGTTTCACAACTTATATTTTAAGTCTTTTGTCCATTTTGAGTTTATTCTTGTGTATGGTGTAAGTTGGTGGTCAAGTTTCATTTTTTTTGCATGTGCCTGTCCAATTTTTTCAACACCATTTATTGAAGAGACTGTCTACGCCACTGTATGTTCTTGCCACCTTTGTCAGATATTAATTGAGCATAATGGCTTGGGTTGATTTCTGGGTTCTCTGTTCTGTACCGTTGATTTATGTGCCTGTTCTTGATTACAGTGGCTTTGTAGTATAACCTGATATCTGGTATTGTGATCCCTCCTACTTTGTTTTTCTTTCTCAAGATTGCTGTGGCTATTCAGGGTCTTTTTTTGATTCCATGTAAATTTTTGGAGTTCTAGATCTGTGAAATATGCCATTGGTATTTTAATAGGGATTGCATTGAATTTATAGATTGCATTGAGTAGTATAGACATTTTAATGATGTTCATTCTTCCAGTCCATGAATGTGGTATATTCTTCCAATTGTTTATGTCTTCCTCTATCAGTGCAGACCTGCTGATTAATTGTTCGGGTGCAGCTTGAGCCTTGGTATTTTAAAAGTTCCCAGGTGATGCCCTTGCTGGTTGGGCTCAGCAGTTAGAGCGTCGGCCCAAGGACCAGAGGTTGCAGATTGATTCCCAGTCAAGGATACATACCTGGGTTGCAGGTTCGATCCTCAGCCCTGGTCGGGGTCATTCAGAAAGCAACCAGTTGATGTGTCTCTCTCACATCGATGTTTCTCTCTCTCTTTTCCCCCACCCTCCCTTCCATTATCTTTAAGAGGAAAAAAAAATCAATGAAAATATCCTCAGGTTAGAATTAACCAACAAAACAAAAAATAAAAGTTCCCAGGTGATCCTTAAGTACGGCCAGGTTGAGAAGCACTGGATTGGGCATTTTGAAGATGGAATGGTTTTAGATAATGAGACAGAGCCCAGTTGTGATTGCGGGAGAAGGCAGCTGGCCTGGGTGGAGTGGAGGGAGGAGGTCACGGAGGTCACGGGACTGAGGGATTAGGGTAGTGGGTGGACTGTCTGTGTGGATGGGGCAGTTATCTCGAGTGCTGGCAGGAAGTAGACTGGTGAGCAGGGTGGGCCAGCACCCCGTGAGGAAGGTGACTAGGTAAGTACCTGCGAGGACCAGGGAACACGGTGGGTGTAGGTGGATGGTAAGAGCCACAAGGACCAGGCTTTTGTTTTATTTTGATATTTCAGAAGAGCTGGAGAGAAATAGTCTCAGTTATGGGGTTGAGGGCAGAACTGAACTCTCAAGGACATGGCTGTGTCCCACATCCCACAGGTGGAAGGACTAGGGAGAACCAGATTTCACACCAAACCAGGACGTGGAGGGAGTGTTGCGAGATTAGGTAGAAGAATTTCCTGAGGGTGAAGTGGCATTTCTGGAAGGCGGATGGGGAGAGAGGAGTGGGCTGTCCCAGGGTGGGGAAGCTCCGAGCTCTCTGGGATGGTGGCGGTGTGCATTGGCTAGTGAGGATTGGTAGGAGACCTGGCAGGGTCATCTCCACAGCCTTTGAGAAGGGTAGGCCCTGGAGGATGCCTTCCTCACCCAGGCAGACCTGGTGACGTTGATGCCTGTGGCTTCTAGTCTGGGCAGGAGACATAGGTATCATCGTGTGGTATGCGCCGCAGGAGTCTGAACAGAGTGGTAGGGGAGCGGGGCACAGAGGCGAAGTGCTCATCTCTTTCTAGGCAGGTCAAGGGGAGTCAAGCTTTTCTCCTCCTTGGGCCTCTTCATTGCTGTGCTGTGCGTACAATGCCTTTGTGCCCTCGTTAGCCAGAAGAAGCCTTTTCTGCCCCCCCAGGACAGGATAACTTCCCCGGGGTAAGCTTTCATGACATCCATTGTGATACTTGCCACTTTTAGTCTATTGAATATGCGCTCTTTCCTCACTTGCCCGTGAACTTCATGAGGGGAGAGACTGGATTGACGGAATAACCTGAACCGAGCACGCAGTGTGGTGCACAGTGGCTGCTTGGCAAATGTTCATTGAATGAGTGATCAAATTAGGGCACATCCCAGAGCGGTGGTCCAGGCAGACAGTGATGGAAGGGCAGTGTCGGCTGAGTGGGTAGTATGTGCAAAGGACCATTGCTACAGCTCCTGGCAGGTTCTCGCTCTGATGTGGCAAGTAAGGAGAAAGTGTGATTCTGAGTAATACCCTAGGTTATTTTACTGTAATTTTTTGCCCTTTAATTCTTCTAATAGGCCAGTCCCAAGATAATGAAAAGGAATTAGCTGCACTCTTCCAGCTGTGGCTAGAAACCAAAGACCAGGCCTTCTGTAAGGTATGGTTTTTAAAGAAATATCAGATCTTTAAGTTAGCCAGAATTTTTTAGTTCATTTGCCTGTTAATGTTTTTCTTTTCTCCAGCAAGAAAATGAAGACAGCTCAGATGCCACAGCACCTGTTCCTCGGGTGTGAGTATGATTCTCGAACGGGGTGGTGTCCTATGAAACCGCAGTTTATGATACTGCGGTGGTTTTTCTAACATTTCTTGTGTAATGTCAGAGTCGTCATGGACTTGAGAGGTCCCAGGGGCCTGTGGATTCTTGCCTGCCTCAGCATACCTGAGGACAACATGCTCCCATTATTAGGAGTGGCTCCCTGAGGAAAAGATTCTGAATGGGGAGGGGCCTGCATAGCAGTTTCTGAGGGGGATGTGATCTACCTTGTAGTGGGCGTACTTTTTTCCCAGAGTTCCCCTTCCTTCAGTTCCCATTTGAGAAGGATTCATCCAGTCCATCTTCCTCGTTTTATCTAGAAAGAAATTGAGTCATGAGTGTAAGTGATTGGCTGAAGGTTAGGGACAGGACTGAGGCTAGAATTTAGGTCTCTTTGAGCTTTTTATATTCCAGCATCTCATGTGACTGTTCTCAGTCAGATGTGGTCCCTTTTCTTTCCCTCCAGCTTTGTGAGAGATAATTGATATGTAATATTGTGAAATGATTACTACTGTAAAGATAGTTAACACATTCGTCACCTCACAGAATTACCAATTTTTTTTGTGTGTGGTGAGAACATACAAGGTCTCTCTTAGCAACTTTCAAGTATATGAAATGGTATCATTAACTGTAGTCACTGTGCTATGAGTTAGATCCCCAGAACTAAATCCATCTTATAACTGGAAGCTTGTGCCCTTTGACCAACATCTCCCTGTTTTTTTTCATCTACCATTCTACTCCCTGTTTTTTGTGAGTTCAGCTTTTTTTAGATTGCTCAAAATTCTTTATGTTGCAGAAGAACTGACTATGTAGTGCGACCCAGTACGGGGGAGGAGAAACGAGTATTTCAGGAACAGGTAAGAAATAGCTAGAGCCCAGTGTCCATGTGCATCTGTGAGGCCATGTGGGAAGCTCTTCTCGAATTCACGTTCTTAGAGGAAACTCACACCTTTAACCTTAGATACCCTGTTGTCTGGGAGTGTTTATTGGGGGCAGAAATGGTGTGAGGACTTATTCTTCTAGATAGCAAAATACATTTGTTTACCTTTTCATCCCTTTGCTAGTGATTAAGGCAATATTCCTAGTGGAATAGCTTGTTTCCTTCCTATTTTAATCTCTCCAGGTGATCCCTTTCATGTATGGGAGCTCTAGAGAGAACCCCACTAATTCTGACTTACGAGCCTTGGCCCTTTTCTTTCGATAGGAGCGTTACAGATACAGCCAACCCCATAAGGCATTCACTTTTCGAATGCATGGCTTTGAGTCTGTCGTGGGGCCCGTGAAGGGTGTGTTCGATAAGGAGACCTCGCTCAACAAGGCTCGGGAGCACTCCCTGCTGCGCTCTGACCGGCCTGCCTATGTCACCATCCTGTCTCTCGGTAGGATCACTTTTCCCTCTAATCAGCTGTACTTATTACCCCTCCACACCCACACAGGAAAACCTTGAGAGTCAGGTGTAGCCTTAGGAAGCTTTGGAGTTTGGGATGGGGGGGTTCTGTTCCCAGACGTATCTCAGGAGTCAGTGTTTCTTTCCTGAGGTCTGCACTTCAGTTTATTTTCATTCAGGAGGAATTAATTGTCTACAGGCCAGCTAAATAGTAGTTAGCTTATGTGTAGGACTTTGCTTCCTCCAGGATATGATTTCTTTCAAGATGAGGTTTTCAACCTTTTCTTGTATCATGAATCTTTGACATTCTGGTGAAACCTGTGGACTCCTTCTCAGAGTTATTGTCTTTAAATGCATAAAATAGAATGCATAGACTTACAAGAGAAACTAATCTTATTAAAATAGTTGTGGAAATATTAAAACAAATTTCTTGTGCAGAAATGTGTGTATTTTTATTATGATATTAAATGACAAGATCTAGCAGCAGGTCTTAGATCTCCTGTAATTTCCAAATAGTGATGCATGGAAATGTTCTGAGTTGTCTGCAGCGGCTGTAATGTGATTATGAAGATACCTGATTTCTGTTACGTCACAGCACTGAAATCTGTGGTTTGTTACCTGTGTTTGTAATAGTCCTAGGCCTCCTGTTCAAGTGTTGGCTGAACGTGAGGAGTGTATAGGGAACTGCCCCTGAGGGCAGTGTCCACCCAGTGCTGAGTGAGGCAGAGGCAACCTCAGGGCACCTCCCCCGCCAGCGCCCGGGAGGTGTCCTCATGGCAGCCCTGCTTGACTCTTGGACTCTCATCTTCTGTTGTCTCCAGTTCGCGATGCTGCAGCTCGGCTGCCTAATGGAGAGGGCACGCGAGCAGAGATCTGTGAACTGCTCAAGGACTCCCAGTTTCTTGCCCCAGATGTCACTAGTACTCAGGTAGGATGGAGAAGAGATTATTTTTGTTTTATTCCAGAAAGGAATTAAGAAAAGTTACAAGGAAATATAAAGACGTAAATTTTTTAAAACACTGAGTGAGGAAGGGGGAAGAAGGGCCTCTGAAGGAACGTGAACAGTGACAACCTAAGACTGTTGCTGTTAGGGAAGCAGCCGTGTGACTCTCAGCTTCCAAAGGTCATAGGTCATCACCTCCTCCAGGTGACAGCAGCAGCTTCTTTCAGGAACCTCGGTGTTTCTGGCTTTGCCAAGCGATGTGTAGGGAGTTTGGGAGATATGATCAGTGTGGCAGCTGTGACTGACACCCGGTGCTTTCCCTGCGGTGCCCGAGCCTGACTGCTCCTCGCCCTCTTTCTGGTTCCTAGGTGAACACTGTCGTGAGCGGTGCACTGGATCGGCTGCATTATGAGAAAGACCCGTGTGTGAAATACGACATTGGACGCAAGCTGTGGATCTACCTGCATCGCGATAGGAGCGAGGAAGAGTTTGGTGTGTGAGGCCTCTGGGCGGTGTGTCCATCTGGACCAGGGATGCCTCTTGCTTTCTGCCCCACTTCCATTATGCTTTTCATTGGCATTTAGACAGGACAGAATTGTAGAGACAGGACTTGGCCCACCAGCGAGGCCTTGGCTCTTAATGAAACCACCCTGCTTGCTGTGCTGAGGTTAAACAGTCGCTGAAGCTTGTCACTCTTGTTCACAGAGCGGATCCACCAAGCACAAGCAGCGGCAGCGAAAGCCAGAAAAGCCCTTCAGCAAAAGCCTAAGCCCTCATCTAAAGTGGTAAGTGACCCGCTGAGAAAGCCCGGCTCAGTGGTTTCAGCGAAGGCCGCAGTGAGGCCGCCCCTCAGCTCAGCGCCTCAGGACCCACAGGGCCTTCAGCACACCCCCGTCTCCTCTGCACGTGAACTTCTCATGAACTTCTCTTCTCCCTGTAGAAGTCCACTAGCAAGGAGAGTTCGCTGAAGGTCCTCAGCGGCGGCCCTTCTGAGCAGAGCCAGATGAGCCTCAGTGACTCCAGCATGCCACCCACCCCAGTCACGCCTGTGACCCCCACCACACCAGCTTTGCCCGCCACTCCGATCTCCCCTCCACCAGTTTCAGCAGTCAACAAAAGTGGCCCCACTGCTGTCTCAGAACCAGCTAAACCCAGCTCCGGGTAAGCACTGCTCTTCTTCCCTGGCTTTCTCCCGCCGGAATCCTTCTGCGTGCATGTCCTCAGTTGGTTTTATGTTTCCCCCGATTTTCCTCAGTGTTCTTCTGGTGTCTTCACCAACAATGCCACAGCTGGGGACCATGCTGTCCCCAGGCTCCAGTCAGACTCCACCAAGTTCTCAGGCCACTGCCCGTGTTGTGAGCCACTCTGGCTCTGCGGGACTGCCCCAGGTGCGGGTGGTGGCCCAGCCCAGCCTTCCTGCTGTTACTCAGCAGTCAGCAGGGCCAGCGCAGACCCTGCCACCAATTCCAGCAGGACCACCGATTCGCGTTCCAGCCACTGCTACGCAGACCAAAGTCATGCCCCAGGTAAATGGGCAGTGGACCCAGAGGGGGGCCAGTGAGTCCAGTGGGCCGTCCGGGTAAGGACTGAGGAGCCTTAGATTATTGCTGGTGCTGCTGATGTTTGTTACAACAACTCCTTTAGTGTTCACAGCCGGGTCCGTGTTCTTGAGAGTTGTACTTTTATATATATATACGTCGTACCTAATATATTGAGGATCAGAACTTCTGAGAAGCTTGGTGATTTACCTAGGATTGTAACGTTAGTCCCTTGTAGAGGTGGGATTACATCCAGATCTGTGATTCTAAATCTCAGGCTCCTTCTGTTGTGCCTCTAATCTTAGCCAGGCCCCTAACTAGTTGTGTGACTGTAGAGAAAATTCTTACCTTCTGCCTCAGTCTCCTCTACTATTAAAGGGGTTTGATATTTGTCCTGAGTGTGTAGGAATGAGGTATTAAATGTGGAAGCATTCTGAAAATTAAAGAAGTATTACACAAAAACAAGAACTTGACAGTGTCCGATCAGGGAATAGTGAGCATTAAGCACTGTTGCATTGGAAGTACCTTCCGGAGGCACACTTCTTGGGTGGTGGCCTGTTGGTCTACATCTCAGTGTCTAATTAAGCTCCTGGCTTTATGCTCTGAACTAGACGGTAATGGCCACCGTCCCAGTCAAAGCTCAGACTGCAGCGGCTACTGTGCAGCGGCCGGGAGCCGGGCAGACGGGACTCACGGTGACGAGTCTCCCTGCCACAGCCAGCCCTGCAAGCAAGCCGGCCACAAGTTCTCCCGGAAGCTCTGCTCCGAGTGCGTCCACAGCTGCCGTCATTCAGAACGTTAGTGGACAGAACATTATCAAGCAGGTAGGTGGATCCGACTCCTCATCCTGAAGCAGAGGACAGTGGAGATCCGTAGTTCACAGGTATTTCAGTTCGAGTCCCCACCCAGGCAGTTCAAGCTCTAGACGCCGAAGAGATTTGTTTCTGCTCCTTTCTGTCTAATTCAGCATTTAGTAGCCGAGTTTCTGAATTTGGAGGAGACTCTGCATGGATTAATTCAGTTAAAATTCTGTGGTATAACTTTATATGCTTTATTGGTATTTCAGTTTACCACTTGTATAAGAATATATTTGTGTTTTCTTGGTTGTGAATATGCGAGGCTTACCATTGAATTTCAAAGGATTACTAGGCAAAATGGCACCGAGTGCCTGCACTGTGCCAAACATTTTATGGATACAACACTGTGGGGTAGGCACTTTTGTTATCCCCATTTTACAGATGAAATGGAACCACATAATGGTGAAGTAACGATTTTTCATTAAATATTTATTGAGTACTTTTGTGTGCCAGGCACTGTCCAAAGTTTTGGGGATTAGTACTGTATTACACAAAGTCCCTCCTTCGTGGAGCTCCCTTTCCCATAGAGCTAGGGGACACGCGTGCTCCAGGAGCTGGTGTGGAGGGGGCTTGATCGTCAGTAAGCGGGAGGGGAGGGTGCAGTGTGCTGCTAAGCCAGGGTGACTGCAGAAGGCCTGTCTGGGGAGCTGGCCTTTGAGAAATGAACAAGGTTGGGAAGTGCCGTGTCCACGTAGCTGGAGGTGGCGCATTTCCGGTGTAGGAAGAGCAAGCGAAAATGTCTTGGGTCAGGAGTATGTTTGAAGACCGGCAGAAAACCAGTTGTGGCTGAGGCCTAGCAGGCAAGTGTGGATGTGTTGGAAAGTGGTTTCTTGAGAGGTTGCCAGCGGTTCAGTCTTGTTAGACTTTAGTTTTAACTCGTGATGGGAACCATTGAAAGATCACGACTCAGAATGACTTGATCTAGTTTACGTTTAAGAAAAGCCCTGGCTGCTGCGTAGCGTGGATTTCAGGGGCAGCAGTGGAAGCGGGGAGACCAGGTTGGAGCAGTTGCTGCAGTCCAGGTGAGAGGTAACGCTGGCTTCCTGTGAATCGTCATCGCGGGAGGTGAGACGTACTGGGGTTCTGAATGTAGGGTGCAGGTAGAGTCATGATTTTCTGGTGGTTTGATTGTGGGGTCTGAGAGGGGGAGTCCAGATTGACCCTGTGGCTTTTGGCCTGAGTGACTGGGTAGGTAGTGACGTCATTATCCGAGTGCAGAGACTGTAAGGCAGACCGAGAGAGAGGTGTGCTCTTGAAGTCAGCCCATGCATCACGTGTGAGCAGGTGTGAGTGACGCGGGGCCTACGAATCCACGCGGCCCGGCTGTAGGCGATGCGGGGACTTGACTGGGTCCAGTGGGTTAGCGGCATTCTGGGAATGTGTTCAAAGAGAATGTAAGGCAAGGGAACGGAGAGAGTGGGCGTAGATCGTTTTCAGAGTGATTTGCTTTTGAAGAGAGCAGAGAACGGGCTGCAGTGGAGAGCGGAGCGGAGCAGGGAAGGGGCGTGGGTGCAGCGAGGGCTTGTGTCCCGGAGGGGAGTGTTGCAGGGCGTTTGCATTCCGCTGGCAGTGGCCCAGCAGAGGGCGTCGTGACGGAGTCCCTGGGACTGGAAGGGCTGCATCTGGCACGGGTTGGCCGTGCTCCTGCTCTCAGCATGAATGTTGGCATCACGCGAGACGTTTTTAAGACAGTTGGGAAAATGTGAATATATATTGTTAGGTAATAACAGGTGATTTAAAAATTTTTTCAAATGTCCTTTTCTAGGTTAGAGATATGTACAGTATTTAATCAGCAAAATGGTATATATTAGTTTACTTAAGAATATTCCCACTCCTTCGTCCTCTGGTCCCCCCAAAATAGGGAAAGGTAGATAAAACAAGATTGACAGTGATAACTAATGGAGCTGGGTGATAGGTACATGGATTTGTTATATTATTCTCTTCCTTTGCGAATGTTTATCATTTTTAAAAATAAAAAGTTAGAAATATATGAACACGCTACCCATGAGATGGAGGTTTGCCTAATCATGCTGTGTAACCAATGTAGCGTTGGGAATCCTCTGGTCAGTGCTGTTTCTTCCCCACCCAGGTGGCAATCACGGGGCAGCTTGGTGTGAAGCCCCAGACAGGCAACAGCATTCCACTCACAGCCACTAACTTTCGTATCCAGGGTAAGGATGTATTGCGTCTGCCACCCTCTTCCATCACCACAGATGCCAAAGGCCAGACGGTTCTGCGAATCACTCCAGACATGATGGCCACCTTGGCCAAGTCCCAGGTTACCACAGTCAAACTGACCCAGGACCTCTTCGGGACAGGAAGTGGCCCTGCAGGCAAAGGCATCTCTGCTACCTTACACGTTACTTCCAATCCAGTCCATGCCACGGACAGCCCTGCGAAGGCCAGTTCAGCCAGTGCCCCTTCATCCACTCCAACAGGTACCACCATGGTCCAAGTGACTCCGGACCTCAAGCCTGCAGAAGCCTCGAGTTCGGCTTTTCGCTTGATGCCGGCACTTGGTGTAAGTGTGGCAGACCAGAAGGGGAAAAGCACCGTGGCATCTTCAGAAGCAAAGCCAGCTGCCACCATCCGCATCGTGCAGGGCCTGGGGGTGATGCCTCCCAAAGCAGGCCAGACCATCACAGTTGCAGCCCATGCCAAGCAAGGGTCCTCGGTGGCCAGCAGCTCTGGAACTGTTCACACTTCAGCAGTGTCTTTGCCGAGTATGAATGCTGCTGTGTCCAAGACTGTGGCCGTGGCTTCTGGGGCTGCAAGCACCCCCATCAGCATTGGCACAGGAGCCCCCACGGTGCGGCAGGTCCCTGTCAGCACCACAGTTGTTTCCACGTCTCAGGCTGTGAGTACCATTGGTGGTGAAGAATAAATAGCCCTTCCACTTAGGGAACCTCTCTTTTTAGGAAGGGAAATGTCTGGATCACTTCATTTACCCAAATAGGCTTATTTACTATAGACTTAAAATTTTGAAACAAATTTGCGAAGGTAGTACATGCACCCATTCTTAAAAAATACTGAAACAAGACAGAAGTACAGGGAATAAAGTATAAAATTCCTTTGACTACCCTCCAGCTCTCCCTTCATGAGAGCTGGTATCTGTTGCTATTTTGGTATTTATCCTTGTAGTCCTCTTCCATGTATTTTTCATACATGCGCACACAGTTTAAAAATCCCTGTGAGAGACCTTAGTCTATATATTGTTGTCTGATTTGCTTTATTTATTTTAAACTATGTCTTGGGGATCATTCTAGATCCTGCACAGATAACTGACTGTGTTCTTGATGATACCATGGAAGTTCATTGAAGGGATATGCTTTGACCATTCTATTAAAGGGCAGTTTTCATCCGGCTGGTGTGGCTCAGTGGTTGAGCCTAGTCCCACGCACCAAGAGGACACATGCCCAGGTTGTGGGCCCGATCCCCAGTGGGGGGCATGCAGGAGGCGGCCAGTCAGTGTTCTCTCTCATCGATGTTTCTCTCTCCCCCTCTCACTTCTCTCTCTAAAAATCAGTAAAGGAGAAAAAAATTAAAGGGCACTTTTCACTGTTCAGAATCAGTGCTGCAGCGAATGCTTGTGTGTGCAGATAGGAAGACGTAGAAGTGTTTCTGGAGCAGAGGTGCCTGGACGGCCACGGAGGTGTACGTACTGAAAGTTTGATACTCCAGTTGTGCTACCAAGAAGGCCATTCCAGCCTACAGCCCAGAGGGTCTCCTGGCCTAACCAGTGCTGGTTAGCACGTGTTGTTTTAGCTTGACGTAGCTCTCTTACTGGTGAAAGAGTCCTTTTTCCATCTCGTTTTCCTGATCTTGGGTGAGGCTGGCCTGTACTCTAGCAATGGCTAAGTCTTTGCCAGTTTTCTTCTGAGTACTCAGCTTTTTCATGGTTTAGGTGACCGTTACTATCTTCTAGGTGTTAATTCTGTGTGGAAAGTATTTTCTTCCACTCTGTCTTTTTTTTTAAATCCTCACCTGAGGATATTTTTTCATTGATTTTTAGAGAGAGGGGAAGGGAGGAAGGGTGGTGGGGCAGAGAGAGAGAGACATTGATTGGTTGCCACCCTCACACATCCCAATCGGGGCCGGGGATTGAACCTGTAACCCGGGTACATGCCCTTGACTGGGAATTGAACCTATAACCCTTCAGTGCGTGGGTCAGCGCTCTAACCACTGAGCCACGTAGGCCAGGGCACCACTCTGTCATTTTTTAACCTTGCATATGGAGCCTTTTGCTCTACAGGTATTTTATCTGATTAGGTCTAGCAACATTTCTTTTATGGTTCCTAGGTTTTATGTCTCTTGCCTTTCTTACCCCAGGGTTATAAAGATAGTAGCTTTTCATAAAATAGTTTCAGAGTTTTTGAGAAAAGTATAACTGATAATTCATTTGAAATATAATGTTGTGGACAGCATGTGAGAGAGCTCATTTTATGTTTTTCAAATTATTCCAGAATCACTGACTAACTTATCCCTTCCCCACTAACGTGAAATACATTTATCATGCACCGGAGTCTCATGTCAACATAGGTGTGTTTCTGGATGCATGTGTGTTCACTTAGCTTCTAGTTGAGCAGCACTGTTCTCTATTTTATATGGACAGTATCAAACATAGTTTTGCTTTTCTAAATAAGCTGTGTAGTAAAACCTCAGTAGTTTGGGTGAAAGCCAAAGTGGTGGAGGTCAGAGGACATACACGTTAGTAAACACAGCCAGTCCCCCTGAGGTGCAGTGTGGCTTGAAAAGAGAGACTGAGGCTCTCACGTCACAGACGTTAGAATAAGGAAGAAAGGAAACCGCATACTCGGTCCCCTCGTTCCCCTCGAATCCTCCTCGTAACGGAGACAGCTGCTGCCCAGTGGCATCTGCCCTGTTAGCTCCATCTGGTAAATACCAGGGTGGGCAAAAGTAGGCTTACAGTTGTTTGTATGGAAAATACAATAATTCATAAATAATATAAGAGTAAAAACTTTGATTCATGTACCACAACCGTAAACCTGCCTTTGCCCCCCGCTGTGTGACCAGAGCGGTTAGTGGGGTAGGAGGTGTTGACTTTCCCTGCCGAGTCAGCTAGTTAGGCTGGTTCGTGAAGGAACAGTTCTCGCGGTGTACTGGGGGCCTGAAATGTCTTTAAGCAGCAAGGCATGGAGAAGAGAAGAGCCCCGGTTCAGCGCGCCGGGAGGCGCCTTCCCGGCCTGCTGGCGCCTTTCAGCGCCTCCGAAGGCCGCAGCTGCGGGCGGGCGGGCTTGCGCGGGCCTGGCTGCTGTGGAACCGGCTCCCGGTGCCTTTCCTCAGCAGCCTGTCAGGCCGCCCTCTTCAGTCGTTCCTTAAAATCAGATTTACACAGGATCTTACTGTATGTACACTTGATTGCCCACCAAGGGTAAAGAAGCCAGGCAACCTAAAAACAGGTGATGCAATTACCGAATCTTACCATCCTGAAATCGAAAGACGAGGCTTTTCAACCTTTTTGTGCCTCTTAGGCCTTATTAGCTTTGCGGTTGGACTTTTCACTTGGACGTGTTTATTATTAGTGTCCCCTAGCTAACCTTTTTTTATCTCTGGGAGGAACAGAAAGCACCTGGAGAATGTGTCTGTCCCGTGTCAGGCCCTGCTGAAGTGCATGCAGCAGCAGTCCCCTGACGTGTTAACTCCCGCGTGCCTGTCCTCCCTCATCCCTGCGGGCGGTTGAGTGCCCAGTATCAGGCTACACGTGAGCGAGACCCTCCTCTGAGGAGCTCAGCCTCTCACTGTGCGTAAGTGAACACACATCTTCCTTTGTGATTTAGGCACTCATTTGATCCTGGCGAGAGCAGTTCTGTATGGTTACTGCTGCTTGAGGCAGCATAAAAGAGGATGTTGACAGATCAGGCGACAGGTGACCCCTGAATGTAGCACAGGAACCTTTACAGCATGTGAGCAGCGGTTTTGCGCGACCTCCCTGGGCCACACCTCAGGAATGTCGGAAGCCTGCAGAGTACGGGGAGGAGAGCATGTGTGTGCTGGCGCCTCAGCTCTGGGAGCTCGGGGACACTGGGTTTTATCATGAACCTGATTCCTTTTTCTCTAGGGGAAGCTGCCTACACGGATCACAGTGCCACTCTCTGTGATTAGCCAGCCTATGAAGGGCAAAAGTGTGGTCACAGCCCCCATCATCAAAGGCAACCTTGGAGCCAAGTAAGTGCTATAGGGAGAGGTGGGCGGGGCTTCTGGGGGGCTCCTTGTTGCGGGTGGGAAGGCAGCTGGGTTTCCTGGGCTCTCCTTTGTTGTGTTCAACAAGATTTATTGAGCACCTAGTATTGTTTGAGGTGTTGGGGATGTAGCAGTGGTTAAAATAGACAAAAAGCCATGCTGTCTTCAAGTGGGGAGAGAAATAATAAAATACTGTATGGGTGGTGAGACATACTGTGGAGAAAAGCAAGGAAGGGGGCAGGAGGTGCTGTGATGGGGTCAGCACTGCCATGGCTCAGCAGTTGTACTGCGGGTTGCTAGGGAAGGCCTCCCTTGGACATTTGAGCTCTGTTGTGTGATAGGTCAGAGGATGAGGGCTTATTGGGAGCCTGAGCTTTCTGTGGCCCTGCCTTAAACAGGGATAGAGGGCATGATGAAAGAATTCTGATAGTCTGAAGGCAGCTATTGGGGGGGGGTCTTGTTAAAAGCACATATCTCCCTGGGGCCCTATTTGTTATTCTGCTGATCAAGGTATGGATATTAGGGTCATTCTGCCCGGAGCACTGGGAGCCCTTGGGCTTGCTCTTCCCTCTTGTCATGGGACGCACAGAAGCTGGGAGAAAGGTGGTCTCATCAGCTGGTTTCCATTTCAGTCCAGGATGCTGGAATTTTTACTGGGCACAGGCCTCCCTGTTTTCCTTCAATGCATGGCCTGATTCTGGGCGAGAGCTAATGCCCTGTCCTGCTTTCATCCACAGCCTCAGTGGGTTGGGCCGCAATATCATCCTCACCACCATGCCAGCGGGCACTAAGCTCATTGCTGGCAATAAGCCCGTGAGTTTCCTCACTGCCCAGCAGCTCCAGCAGCTCCAGCAGCAAGGTCAGGCCACACAGGTAGGTCCAAGGCAGACTGTTGGCCGTACCAGGGTTCTCCTTTGCTGTTTGTTCTCAACTGATGACCCTATTTGCAGTCTGCTGATCACACATTCTCTTTGCAAACAGGTGCGCATCCAGACTGTCCCCGCGTCCCATCTTCAACAGGGAACAGCCTCCAATTCCTCCAAAGCAGTCTCCACTGTTGTTGTGACCACAGCTCCATCTCCTAAGCAGGCCCCTGAACAACAGTGATTCTGAGGGAAAATGGCTTCCACAAAAGCCCATACCTGCTCTGCCTTCTGGCTGAGAGGAAGGGAGCAGGGAGGTCACATCCTTCCTCCAGCTCATCTGTCTGAGGAAGGCTTGGTGGCAGTAGTGGCCGGGATTCCGCTGCCACACTCCACATGGAGGCCTCTGAGAGAGGTTCACTGCAGGTCTGTGCTGTCCTGATCCAGGAGAAGCTTCTCTCAAAGTTGTGTGAGGTCCTTGTTGTGTCACACAAGCCAGAGTCCTCTCCTGGGAGCAGGATGCCGAGGGCGGGCTTACAGTGGCGGAGTGTAGACAGCGAATAAGCCTCGTTCTATACGTGGATCGAACTTTTTAGCTTGTGGTCTTCTCTGTGACTAGTGGTCTGGATAGAAGTTTTGTGTCCAGAAATTTTTATGTAACTTATTTTTTTTAAAGAGCCTATTGTACATCTTTGTCTAATAGAAACCTGGGTGTTAGCCCCCCCACCTCCAATGGATTCATTATTCTTTTGGCCAGAATGTGAGAATAGCAAGATTCTTTTAGGTTGGTGGCTGACTTGATAATTACATAGTGATGGAGAGGCTGCAAGATGGGGAAGAAACATAGGCAGTGAGATTGTGTGGGTTCCCTGAAATGGGATTAGTTTTGCACTACCTCTTAAAGGTGGGGTGTCAGGACCCTGACGGGGTCTGTTTCCTCACGTGCTGACCGTTCTCATCAAGCCTGTTCACATAAGCCCCGAGCCCCGAGCCGGTGGGTACATAGGTGATGCCCAGCAGAGACGCTGCTGCTGTAGCACCGACTTGCTTTCAGGTCAGAGACTGTACCTTCTGCTTTGCTCCAGAACAAGAGTCAGCAAACCATGGCCCTTGGGCTGGCTACCCATTTTTGTAAATAAAGTTTTATTGGAACACAGCCTGTGCCCTTCATTTATGTATTACCTATGCCTGCTTTCAGCTCAAAGGCAGAACTGAATCGATGCCATATGGCCCTGAAGTCCAAAACTATTTTTATGTGGTCCTTTAAGTAAAACCTTGCTGACTTTTTTTTTAAATCTTCACCTGAGGACATTTTTTGCATTTATCTTCAGATAGAGTGGGGGGTGGGGGGGGAGAGAAAGAAACATCGATGTAAGAGAAAGACATCGAGTGGTTGCCACCCTCAGGACCCCAACTGGTGCTGGGGTCAAACTGCAACCGAGGTACGTGCCCTTAGTGGGAACCGAACCCAGGACTATCTGGTCTGCAGGCCAACACTCTAACTGCTGAGCCAAACCAGCCAGGGCACCTTGCTGACTTTTATTCCAAAGTAGAGATGGCAAGAAGAGAGTGGGTGTCCCTACCAGACATCACCAACCCCAAAAGAGGTCAGCCTGGATATACAAGTTATTTATTCCTGGCTATTTCATGCTTTTCAGCCCCCATCCAGCTTCAGGCAGGGCGCTTAGACTGGCACTTTAAAGTGTCATATTTAATTGAAGCGCTGGTTGCTAAGGATACATGCCTCTTTTGTGTTGGAGCAGGGGTTGGGTGGTAACGCTTTTCTGCAGTGACAGGGCTTCCCTAACTCTTGCAGGAATCCGGATGATTAAAGATGTGTCTTTGATCTGTGGAAGTCCAGTGATGACGCCTCCTGGGGTCTGCGTGAGGAAGTGGGGTTGGAGGGCGGGGCATCGGAATGGCCTCTTCAGGGCCTGCTGGGTGGAGGCTGAGGCTCGGGCCAGGGCAGCAGAGGCCTTTCCATGGCTTGTTGGTGACAGTGGTTCTGCAGGCGTCTCAATGGATTCCTAAAGCAGTTCTGTGAAATGGTTACTATTGTCCCTGTTTTTACTGTGAGAAAATGTGCATTTCATTGGAGTTGAGGAGAACCAGGATGTAAAGTGCACGCTTGATTCTAAGTCAGCCGCCCCTTCTGCTGCCTTCTCAAGAAGGGAATGGCTGTGATGTGTCATGGTGAGACTTGGGGACGACCCAGAGTTGCGGGTGGTGAGCCTGGACCACGAAGAGCCTAGGGGACCTGGCTGAGGCGAGAGTGAGTGTTGAGGGGCAGCAGAGAGGCTCTGGGCCAGGACGGCGATGGCGAAGGCGGGCGTGCAGGGGAGGAACATTGTCTTTCGCGGGGTCAGGGAGACTGCACCTGGTGTTCGTAGTACTTTGATATTTGCGTGTCCTCGCTCCCTAGTCCATTTCACATGAAAAGTTCATATGACAGGTTCTAAATGAGAAAAAGGTAGAAATTTGAGGAATCCTGTCTCAGGTATGTACTGCTGGTTCAAATAAACTTCCTCTGAATTAACTCAACAAATGATTTCATACAAGTAGTTCTGGCATTCAGCCCCAACCTCACCGCACACTTTTTGCTTTTTTTTAAATCCTTACCTGAGGATATCTTTCCATTTGTTTTCAGACAGAGGGGGAGGGGGGGAGAGAGAGAAAGAGAAAAACATCAGTGCAAGAGAGACATTAATTAGTTGCCTTCCTCACGACCCCGACCAGGGCTGGGGACTGAATTGCAGCCAAGGTATGTGCCCTTGACCAGAATTGAACCCGCAGCTCGTTGGTCTGTGGGCCGATGCTCTTAACTCCTGAGCTAAACTGGCCAGGGCACACCCCACACTTTTATTTGCTGAAGTCACCTGACTGCCCGTCTCCTTAGTGGCCGCAGACATTTACATCCAAGGAGAACAAATAGCTTTCAGGATGCCACTGTGGGACTGACCCGGGGGAAGTATAACTGGGCTCTGGCCAGCCTGTCAGTGGAGCACCACATTGGAAACCCCTGTTGGAGGTGTTCAGGTGACATCACCAGCCTTTGTACCAAACATGGTTGGTTCCTTAGGCACGTACCTCAGGGGTCATGAGGGATGTGGGTGGGTGTTTGGGGAACAATTCGGGAAGAACCCGTGGCTGCCATTGTGTCTTTGATCTTCTGGTTGACACAGGTTGGTAAAATTGTCCAGACCACATGTCTAAGCCTGGATTTGGTGAGGGGTGGTCACTTCTGTGACAGCATCCAAACCATGTTGTGACGGCGGCATCAGAGTAAGCTTGAACGATTTATCACACCTCAACCTCTCACTCTGGAGAAAAGACTGCATTTCCTTGAAGTATTCTGACCCACCCCTTTTCAATCAAAACGAAGACCTTCACTTGGAAAGTAAAACCGAGAGCAGGTTCCTTCCTCCCACCTCCAGTCTCAGGAAATAACGTTTTACATTAATTGCCAATAATAGGTCCTCTAGTACTTGTTGAAGGGATGTTTGGGTTTTCTGCTCAGCAGGCAAACGAAAGTGGATCCTGAAAGGGTACCTGTTTGTTTGTCTAAATATTAAATTAGTGTTTCCAAGTAGCTCATTCTTCACCTCCAGCTGTGGCTTCAGCTCTGATTGCTGGCCGACGGGAGGGCTCTGAGTACAGCGGGCCTTCCAGAGCGCCTGTGGTGCTTCGTGGAAGCGATCTGCTGCGCGGGTGTGGAGTCGCAGAGGGTAGAGGTGAACTGTAGGCTGGCCTTGAGTCCTGCTGAAGACTGGTTCTGCGGCTTGGTGTGTGTAACAGACTGATCGACTCTGGTTCTGCGGCTTGGTGCGTGTAACAGACTGATCGACTCTGGTTCTGCGGCTTGGTGTGTGTAACAGACTGATCGACTCTGGTTCTGCGGCTTGGTGCGTGTAACAGACTGATCGACTCTGGTTCTGCGGCGTGGTGCGTGTAACAGACTGATCGACTCTGGTTCTGCGGCTTGGTGCGTGTAACAGACTGATCGACTCTGGTTCTGCGGCTTGGTGCGTGTAACAGACTGATCGACTCTGGTTCTGCGGCTTGGTGCGTGTAACAGAACTGATCGACTCTGTTTCTGCGGCTTGGTGCGTGTAACAGACTGATCGACTCTGGTTCTGCGGCTTGGTGCGTGTAACAGACTGATCGACTCTGGTTCTGCGGCTTGGTGCGTGTAACAGACTGATCGACTCTGGTTCTGCGGCTTGGTGCGTGTAACAGACTGATCGACTCTGGTTCTGCGGCTTTGGTGCGTGTAACAGACCTGATCGACTCTGGTTCTGCGGCTTGGTGCGTGTAACAGACTGATCGACTCTGGTTCTGCGGCTTGGTGCGGTAACAGACTGATCGACTCGGTTCTGCGGCTTGGTGCGTGTAAACAGACTGATCGACTCTGGTTCTGCGGCTTTGGTGCGAGTAACAGACTGATCGACTCTGGTTCTGCGGCTTGGTGCGTGTAACAGACTGATCGACTCTGGTTCTGCGGCTTGGTGCGTGTAACAGACTGATCGACTCTGGTTCTGCGGCTTGGTGCGTGTAACAGACTGATCGACTCTGGTTCTGCGGCTTGGTGCGTGTAACAGACTGATCGACTCTGGTTCTGCGGCTTGGTGTGTGTAACAGACTGATCGACTCTGGTTCTGCGGCTTGGTGCGAGTAACAGACTGATCGACTCTGGTTCTGCGGCTTGGTGTGTGTAACAGACTGATCGACTCTGGTTCTGCGGCTTGGTGTGTGTAACAGACTGATCAATTCTGAAGAACTGGTGTACTTACATTGCAGGTGGTTGTGAGAAACAAATGAGATACATTTCCAGTCTGAAAAACGCGAAATGAATGGGGTACTGTTTGGTCTATAAGACTTGCTTTCAAATTAGTCCTAACCCACTTTTATCAGCAACATATTGATCTCTCTTTGCCTGGATTGTGCCTTTTTTGTGGGGCAGGCTCCCTGTTTGTCCCCCTCCTTGTTCTCATCATGGTGGTTTCACGTACCTTATGGCTCCAGTCGCCCGGTAACTGCTCGAATTCCTTGCTGGGCACATAACGTAACCTGCACACCATTGCAGTGCTGGCACAGGTAGGTGTTTGATAAATACTTGGGGAAGGAAGTTTAAAAAAACAACAACACAAAGAACCAGAACCAAGACTGGAGTATCAAGACTTGTATTACTAGTTCAAGCTTCAGATCCTTGCAGAATTCTTATCCCTTGTTTGCAGCAGTGTTTAAAGTCAGGCCTTCCATCACCTGACATTTTTCTCTCTGCTCATTATACAGATTTCCTGTCAGCATCCTCTGATGAGGGTACTTTTTGAGAGTCAGAACATCTGAGTTTCAGCTCTCAGCTGGGCCACTAACTAGCTTCCTAATTTAAAAAATAAAAATCCCCTTTGGCTCAACTTAGTCACTTATCAACAATGCTATTGCAGTACTCTGAAATACAATTAGTTAGGAGATGTTTAACAAATAACATTTAAATACTAAAGCTTGTGAATCATTACTTTAAAAAACACAGGTTCGAACTGCATCTGTAAAACAAAGGCACCGTTGCTCACTTACTTTGTAATCAGAAAGTACCTGCTTTCTGGAGAAGGGATAAATTGTCAAAAGCAGTGAGTTTTGCTGGATTCATATCCTGGATTAGTCCATGAGACTACTTCCTGTGCCAAAATGTTAGCATCTGATTTCTCTTCACTCTGGACACAAAGGCTTGCTTCATTTTTCTTTATGAAGGATACCACACCTACACAGCCGTTAGCCAGTTAAACGAGAAGGTGCAAATACGTATATAGGACCTTAACAGCAGACCAAAGCAAGCATTAAAAAAAAGATGCGCTACACCTGTGAGCACTCCAGCTGTTGGTGCTCAAAGGGACATGTCCACCCCTACTTAGGACTCATGGCCTCTTCTTCCTCATCTGAGCCATTCAAGAGGGCCTTCTGGTACGTGGGGTCTGACCTCAGCTTCTGAATCCCAATGATTTCTCCTCCTCTCCGCCTCTTTAACCGAGTCAAAAGGCTGTAATAGAGAAACAGACAAATCAGCCCCCCAAGCTCCCTCTTCCTTCACTCAGAACGTGAAGGTAGCTAATGGTTCCTAAAGCATTTTCGTTACATCTCGCAAATACTGTGATTACATATCTGACTTCTCAGTGTTCACTGGTAGATAAAGGGCTCATGATTAATATTTAATAGCTAATGTTGTAACTGAGGTTGAACTTGGGTCTCCTGCCTCCCTTTTTGTTATTTCACTGACCAGGCGGTAGAACGGAAAGAAACCGTGACCTGGAGTTGCCTTCTGTTTGGCTTGTGTGGAATTCTTTGTGGGTGAGGCGTGTGCAGCCCTCTGAGCCCTTGCCTGTCTCACAGGGTGGCGAGGGTTAGAGCGGGCCGCGCACTGCTTGCTCCCCGCAGTGCCGGGGCAAAGCAAGTGCGTAGGCAGACTGAGCTGTTCCTCGGATGAGCACTTAGCACTTGCTGCCCTGGTTTCTCACCCGAGTGTCCCGAGGTCTCTGGGAAGTAGGCAGACACACCCAGGAGTAAGGTGCAGGCGCAGAATGAACCAGGGACAGAGCCCGCACTGCAGCCCAGTGCTGGTGCCTCGTTCAGGCCTAACGTCAGAACTGCATCGGAAGCCTGGGCCTCCCAGGTCACTGACGGGGCAGGTCCTTGACCAGACCGCCTCAGAGCCTCAGCACCCTCACCTGTAGGTGTAGAGTGCCTGGCGCAGAACCTGGCGTTTAGCTGGTGCTTGTTACGTGGACAGAGTCAGCACTACGTAGTTAAGGAAGGTGGGTCACTGGAAAGAAGACTGATGTGGTGTAATAAGTGTTGGGGGCAGGGGGTTGGGAAGGGAGGGAAACCTTGACGAAAGCCGTCTTCTCTCGGACATACCAGTGAACGAGGGAGAAGTTGATGGCCACAATGCAGAGCGCGGCCAGGTAATGCCAGCAGAAACACATGGTAATGAACATGAGGTTCCCGTGATCTTCCTGGTCCCAGCTGGGTGTTCCAAAGGGTGGGAACAGCACAAACCCAATCTGGTGGATTATGCAGAGAAGACAGCCTTGTCATTAGTTGCTTCCTTCCTGTGGTTGCCAGAGGTGTACAGATGTTCCCCATCACCTCATTTCCCATACCCATGTCAGCACAGAAAGACCTTTTTGCACAGGAAAATGGCTAGGTTAATTCTGATTTAGAATAAACTTATTTCAAACAAAATTTCAGGCGAACAGTTGAGCAAGCGGAGCCGATGGTATCAGTACCTCCACTGAAGTGGGCAGATAGGGAAAGGTGTACCGTGCTCACTGTGTATGCGCCATGGATTCTTCGTGCATCAGCAGGCTGTTCGTGGATGAAGCCACATAGGGGGCGGGCATGGGCAGAAGAGTGGCCATCTGAACCCACCCACGTGGTATGCTAGCGCTGCATGTCAGGACTTCACTGGGACACGCTCCGTGGGGCCCTTATTCCATACAGTGTTAGGAGCATTGTTTAAATAATTACCTGCCAGAACCAGGTGCCTTGAAGAATAACGAGTGTGGTTCGGAAAAGTTCCAGCACAATATTGTCCCGAAGGAACACCTCCAAGAAGATACTGAGAGCCCCTCCAAACACGGCGCACAGCAGCAGCGAGTGGATGTACTGGTCCAGTGGCGGGCGGTTGTGGACGTGGTGGTAGAAGAGGAAACCTGCCGGGAGCCAGGGGCAGGCGTCAGAGATGGCCCGTTCCTGCGTCAGCATCCACCCTGGACTTCCCATTACCTGAGCTTCCTCAGCCAGCCTTTCAGCCCTCGGAAAGTCAGTTTATTACAGGACAGCAAATGTGCAGATACAATGTGCGTGTGTGTGTAAAGTGGGTATAAGCAGCCAAGGATGTCTCTTCACGTCTCTAGAATCTATGGCAGGGTTCGATACAGGAGGGGTAAGTGGAATACTGCTGATTTGTGACAAATTGTGTGTTTACTTGAAATTCAGTTTTGTCCTCATTCACCTGTTTTCAGCTCTTCCTGAGGTACAGAAGTAAATGAGGTTGTTGGATCCTACATTTTTAGGACCCCACTTAACGGAAGTTATGTTGGGGGTTCCTCCCTAGCTCTGGGTGGGTCTCCTCTTTGTGATGGGAGTCCAGACAATGACACTCTGGGGGTGCAGGGGGTGGGGTGCAGTTTCTCCTCCCAGACCCTAGGGAGGCATGTGTGGTGGCCTTCATCCCGTCTTCAGACAGTCCGTGTTTGTGTGCGGAGCGGCTGGCAGAGGGCAGAGAGTGCGCACTGTTAGCCAGCGACGGGCCAGAAGCCGGATGCTCTGTGCAGTGTGTCTTCTATACCATCCAGAGCATAGGGCTAAGCCTGCTCAGGTGGTTGAAGTTCAGAGATTTGGATTTTTCTGGGGAAGGTTACTGTATTTAGATAGTTCTGGTCGACTGTGCCCCAATCCCTCATAATCACAACTTGTCAGTTTCTTCCTTTTTTCCATCCTTACCACTAAGTTACCTTCATTAAATGTTGCCACAGCCATAACCAATCTGTCGACCCCTAAAGGAACGTGATTGATGAGACAGGTGAGCATATCAGTGACTCCTGAGATTGCGAAGAAGAGATACATGGTGCTGTGTTGCCAGTTCATTAGCTTGATCCAGTGGTTTTCAGTGTACAGGTGGAGGTGGGGCCCATCTGGGACAAACTGCTCTGCGAGGATCCCTGCAGGGAAATGAGAATGGAAATTGAGGAGGAAGTAGTCCCAGGGCACACAGGAGACTGAAAAATAACCCCGAGTCACGAACCAAGCCAAGATGTGAAGGTGGCCCGTGGTTCAGTGCCCCTACTTTGCGACTTCAGTGTAAACTAAGGTACTTGCAGAGGAACCTGTGTACATATCTTCCCATTGTTGCTGCTGTTCCTTGCACCGGGCCCCTGGGGGAGGGGAAGAAGCAGTAGGAACAAGCCACACCGGTGCACAGGAAACGGTTGGTAGCTGAGATGAGTAGGCATTGTCCCCTAAGAGAGTGTGGCAGGTAACAGTCTGGGCGTCCCCTGTGAAGTGAGCCGTGAACAGCCCTGGAAGGAAACAGCGTGAAAAGGATAGAATCCGAGCAGACACTGGTGGGGGACGCTGTGCACGCCCGAGGGAGGGATGCCGCGCCCGCCCGGGTATGTCTCCAGGCATGGAATGGGCTCCGTGGTCTTGCATCCTTCCCAAGCTGTAGGTCTCAGTGTCCTGACCCCTTCACGCGGTGTTTCTGGCCATACTGTATCTCCGGAGAGGCCAGCCTTAGGGACCGGGCCAGAAGATGGATCAGCTGTGCCATGGGGTAGGTGGCCATCCTCACCCCTTGCGCTGTTACCTGCTTTGGAAGGCAAAAGATTTGCCTTTATGCCTGGTGCCCCAAATGTTCTGAGGCCTCCATGAGTCCTCCACGACAGCATTCTGGACTCTGTTCCCCAAACATGTTTCCCCAAACTCAGCCCCTTTCTGAATTTATGTATAAAGGATCAAGGAGTTGAGGAAAACCACTCAGGAAAAAGAAGTCCGGTGAGAGCAGAAACAGTCTTCAGTTCCCCACTGTGGCCCCAATATCTAGAACAGTGAGTTCCTGGCACATGGTGGGAACTCGAGAAATAATTGGTGAATGAATATTATTTTCACCCAAATCCATTTTTTCTAGCTTTAGTTAGGCCAAGGTGATGCTGTCCTTACCATTTAAGGCATAGGGTCCCTGTTGCCTTCTCAGGGTGAGTGGGAAAACCCAGCTGGGCCTGGCAAACCAAGCCATGTACCTTTGCTAACTCCACAGAAGCTACTGCTACTGCTTCAGCTCCTCCCAGGAGACTAGGCTGAAGATGGTCAGTGGCAAATGTCGTTGCAGAATAAGACCCGTCATGGGTATGGCTCATTCTTTGAAGGCCACCCGGAGAGTGGAACAGATGACAAGTAGAAGTGGGTGGATTTTTTCAGGATGGGCACTAAAGGAAGGTCCCTCTCAAACTGCCCCTGGTGGGCTGCTTCAGTGTCTCCCACTGCCTCTTACCAGTCTGCTAGCACCACGCCCCTGTCTGTGATGCCTTGAGATTGGGGATGGAGGATGTGCCAGTGAGTAGGGTGTTTACTCTTGAGATTCTCGTGGAGAGACGTGAGAAAAGATGATTTTTCTAAAACTAAATTTAGTACTTTCATAACTCATGACATGAGCTTATTTGTTCTTTTTTTCTACTTTTGTGTTTTGTCTTTTTCATCAAGTATGTCTTCTGTCCCTACAACCTATACCCATGTCTTTCTAGGGCAAAGGATGTAGTTTATTTGGTAGTTTTTCACAATGCATTAAGATGTAAGGTGCTAATAACTTAATATTACAATGGTTGGTACACAAAAGTTACATTAAAATATTCAGTGGCCAACTGAAAATCCGTGATCTATTATCTCTGTCGGTGCAGACATCCATTTCACAGGGTCCAGAAACTGGTTAAAGGGTCTGGGTGTGATGGGGCGACCCCTGGACCATAGGACCCCGTTCTTACCGATGACCGGAAATACCGTTCTGATCGCAGCTTCAATGATCTCGAGACGCTGGTAAGAATGAATCAGTTGGCTTCTTTTTCCCTTGTGATGACAATACTTCAGTGGGTACTTCACTGACCACCAGAGTCCAACTATCAAGAAAAAACTCCCCGGGAGAGCGTGGCCCTTGAAGTTTGCCATCGGGGTTCTAGGTCACCTGGAAAAGAAGGGTCGCCGTTAGGTGGCTGAAGGAAGAAAACCTCTTGGCAGGAAAGGCAGCATTTCCAGCTCCAACTCATAAGCCGTATTAAGAAGGGCCCACTCGTTCTCATGAAGTCAGTCTTGGTCGCAGGACCGAAGTCTTGTCTGCTGAGGGAGTTACATGCTGGCCCTGAGGCGTTGGTAAATAGAAGGGGGTGGGGGTGGAGGATAGATAAATACTCATTGATTTCAGGGTAGAAAAGCCCTCCTAAACAAGGAGGGAACTAGAAAAGAAGTACTGACAGTGGCATTTTATGGGTCAAAAACATCAGAAAGCAAGCCAATGGAGCAAAAGTGCCAACTGTGGGATTGTGACTGAGCGCCCAGGTGGAACCAATGGGCAGCACCTGCTAGCCCATCCCCATCCCGCACAGTGGTGAGCCCCGCAATGTGCTTGGGACCCTGTCTGAGCGAAGAGCGCCTCCCAGGAATATGTGAATTATGACCTGGTGAATGAGAAGGCACAAGCAACCCACATAGTGGGCAGGGAGCTTCCTTAGCATCCAAGCCAGGCTCCTTGGGGAAGAGAAAACCACAGGGTCCTTGTGACTGAAGGCAGTTTCAGTACATTTACACAAAGGCAGTAGCATCACAACGTTTGTTACTCAAAACAGATCCCAGAAATAGGAGTAAGGGCTGGGGGAGGGGCCAATGGCTGGGAGGGCAGCCTTCTGTCCCTGACCACCAGCAGCAGGAGACAGCAGGGTAGCAAGCACCTGTTACTTTGAAGCCGGTCGGGCCTCTAATGTTGGGATAGCGCCCCTTTCAGAGCCACCTCGCGTGGAGACTCCGCACTCCCAGCACAGCGGTGTGGCTATTTAAAAGGTGCCCCAGGAAGGGCAAAGCCTTGCCTTGGGGTGGGAATCCTAAGCTCAGGTCTTATGTAAATCTCTGCACTATGGGTGTGAGTAGGGCTGTCATTCGGTAAAATGTCTAGGCAGCAACTCCAAAGAGTGGTTTTCTCATCCCGGTATTCCCTCCGAGAGCCTTTATAAATCGACAAGGAAAAGACCATGGAAGGATGGGCACACACATGAACAGTTCACAGTCAATGCAAATCGACCAAATCTCGCTGTAATTAAAGACATGCAAATGAATGACAATATCATTTTCACCTAATTGGAATATAATTTGAAAAATGAGAGATTTGATGCAGCTATAGTATAAACATGGTCAAATGGTTCAAATTCAGTAAAAGTCAAAGTAGTTATACAAACACCACTTATTCTATAAAATACTCCAGGCATGGTTTCTTTTCCTTTCATCCTATTTACAGTAACATAGGCTGTGGGATCAAAATTATGAGTTATATAGAATTTATTCAGAAGGAAAATGACCTTCTCCTGTGCCCTGGGTGGTGACCTACATAAATGTAGGGTGGGAGAAAACAGCAGTTGATGGTGATCTAGAAAATACCACTCGGGAAGTTAGAGTATCAGTGGTCGGCACAGCTTCCCCCAACCCTGCCATCGGGTGTCCCATCCCTCTGTCCCTGGCTACATTGTCAGGGCTGATTCACACCTGATCCATTTACAGTCCAGGTTTCCACCCTTCATCAAGAACTTTCACAAGCTTTTAAAAATTGCTTATAATTTTTTAAATGTCGCATAGTATTTAAAGGTTTACAATTTAAAGGTCCCATAGTTATTTAAAAGCAGCAGCCCCATGTTCTCTCCCTCCTCACCCCCCACAAAGGGAAACCACTCTAAATTCTTCCTGCTGTTTTTTTTTTTTTGGTAATTACCTCCATAACTCTAGTTAACTTGTGCACACTGCCATCTGTTAATTTACTGTTGTCGGGCATTCTCTGTCAACTTCAAGCTCTGTACAGCCTCTCTCTTCTCTTCACAGTAGTGACATTGTATCCATTTACTGAAATCATTAGTCTCATTATTATGGCTCTGTAAATCCAAAAGATCCTGTGCGCTCTTTGATCTCGCCCACCCCTCCTTTCCTGTGACACAGGGTCCCCTCTACGGCTTCAAGAAGTACAACCTACTCCTGCTTCAGGGCCGCGCAGTCTGTTCTTTCTGGAACAGTTTTCCCATGGAGAGCCAACGGTTTGATCCTTCACTCCGCTCTGGTCTCTGCCCAAATATGTCTTTATTCCCTGACCGCTTTATGTAAAATAGCAGACGTGTCCGTGCACACTTCTAAATTTCTTTAATGAATCACTATCTGCAAGCTCACTGAAAGTAGGGATTCGACCTGCTTTGTTACTGCTGGTAGCCCCTTGCTTACAATAGGGTTTGTCGCACTCAAATATTTGTGGAATGAATGCTGATCCAAACACTGTATTATTGGTTATAGTTTCTTCTTTTAAAAAATGTGTTCATTGATTTTTTTTTTTTTAGAGAGAGAGGAAGGGAGAAAAAGAAACATTGATGTGAGAAACATCTATGGGCTGCCTCCTGCACGTCCCCTACTGGGGATCGAGCCTGCAACCCAGGCATGTGCCCTGAATCCAACTGGGACCTCTCAGTCCATGGGACTACGCTCAACCCACTGAGCCTCACCAGTCGGGCATGGGTTATGTTTTCAACATTTTTGTATTATTCTGGAGTGAATAATTACCTTGCTTTTCTTTTGTTTCATTTCCCGTATATTTAATCACTTTCTTTTTCCACAAAAGAGCTAATAGATTTGTCAAATGTCTACTACATGAATGTCTAGACATTCTCACATCAGATAACCTGTTAGTTCTGCTTTATTCCAGAGGCCTCTCTCCAGGGCCTTTCGCCTCCCTTTCCCGAGCTGGACTGCTGTCCGTCAACCGTCTTCCAGGGTCTCTCTGCTTTTTACTGTTTTGGACCCTCTTTCTTGGATGCCATGTATTTTTCTCCCATTAATATGTACCTACTTATTCCCCAACATATGCACAAAAAGTAGATTCTTTGAGAATTTGCATAGCTAACAATCTCCACCTGTTTTAAACAAAGTGGTTTATTCAGTCTGTTAATATTTAATATAGTTATCAATGAGGTTACATTTACATCTGTCATTTTGCTATTTGTTTTCTGTCTCATGAATTTTTTTTTTAAAGGCTTAATTTTTAAAGAGCAGATTTAAGTTTACAACAAAATGGAGAGGAAGGTACAGAGACTTTTCACATGTGCCTGCACCCGTGTATGCCTAGTCTCCCCATTATGGACACCGCCACCAGAGTGGTAACAATTTTTACCCAGGGTGAACCCACACTGACACCAAGTCCATGGTATACCTTGGGATTTACTCTTGACGTTGCACATTGTATGGGTTTGAACAAATGTATAATGATATCTATCCGTCTGTATAACATCATACAGAGTATTTTTACTGCCCTAAATCTCCTCTATGCTCTCCCATCCATCCCTCTCCTCCCCTCCCCTCCCCTGGCAACCACTGATCTTTTATTGTCTCCATAGTTTTGCCTTTTCCATGATGTCATATACTTAGAATTATAAGTAGCCTTTTCAGATTGGTTTCTCTCTTAGTAACATGCATTTAACTTTCCTTCGTTTTTTTCCCCTCACCCTAGGATATATATATATATTTATATATATTTTTTATCCTCACCCGAGGACATTTTCCATTTTTTGTTAAGGTAGAGTGGGAGGGAGAGAGAGGAAGAGAGAGAGAGAGAGAGAGAGAGAGAGAAACATCGACGTGAAAGGGACACATCGAGTGGCCGCCATCTGCACGACCAGGGCCGGGGACAAACTGCAACCAAGGTACGTGCCCTTAGTGGGAACCAAACCCGGGTCTCTCTGGACCACAGGCTGATGCTCTAACCGCTGAGTCAAACTGGCCAGGGCCGAGGATATTTTTTTCTATTTATCTTCAGATAGAGAAAGAGAGGGAGAGAGGAAGAGAGAGAGAAACAGTGATGTTAGAGAGACATACCGACTAGTTGCCTCCCACACGACCCTGACCAGGGCTGGGGATGAACCGCAACTGAGGTATGTGCCCTTGACTGGACTTGAACCCGTGACTCACTGGTCCGCAGGCTGACACTCTAACCACTGAGCCAAACCAGCCAGGGCATAATTTCCTCCATTTTTTTGATTGTTTGATAGCTTACTTATTTTTAGCACTGAATAATATTCTGTTTTCTGATGTACAACAGTTTATTTATCCATTAACCTACTTAAGGACATCTTGGTTGCTTCCAAGAACTGGCAATTATGAATAAAGCTATTACAAATATCCATGTGCAGGTTTTTGTGTGAACATAAGTTTTTATCTTCTTTAGGTAAACACCAAAGAGTGAGATTTCTGGATCAGAGGGCAAGGGTATGTTTTGTAGAAACTGCCAAACTCTTCCAAAGTGGCTGCCATTCTGCACTCCCACCACAATGACTGGGCGTACCTGCGGCTCCACTTCCTGGTCAGCCTCTGGTGGTGTCAGTGTCCTGGGGTTTGGCCATTCTAATAGGTGTGCAGTGGTGTCTCATTGTTTTAATATGCATTTCCCCCATTACCCCGACCAAGGCAAGGGACCAACCACAGCTGAGGCATGTGCCCTTGACTGGAACAGAACTTGCGACGCACTGGTCCGCGGGCCAGCGCTCCAACCGCTGATCCAAACCGGCCAGGGCTTCTTAGTACATTTTAAAAGTTCTTTGTTTATTTTGGATAACAGTCCTTTATCAGATGTGTCTTTTGTAAATATGTTCTGTCAGTCTGTGGCTTGTCTTCTAATTCTCTTGATTTTGTCTTTGGCAGAGCAGAAAATTTAATTTTAAGGAAGTCCAACTTAACAATTATTTTTTTCATCGATCATGTCTTTGGTGTTGTATCTATTTATCTATTTACTTTTCATTCATTATTTTTAGAGAGGGAGAGATAGAAACATCAATGAGAGAGAACATCGATTGGCCACCTCCTGCATGCCCCTCACTGGGGACTTGGCCCACAACCTGGTCGTGTGCTCTGACCAGGAATTAAACCGGTGACCTCTGGGTGCATGGGTCGATG